TTTTTAGCTTTATATTAAATAAAATTCCTAGGTAAAGTTTCTATATTTGCTGACTCACCTCCCATTTCCAATCCAACCCATTCCAATCTATCATCTTCCCCTGCGACTACTCAACTGGAATGACTTTTATCAACACCAGCAATGACCTACATCTCGCCAAATTCAATAGTTAATTTGTTTTGTCTTATTATTCCACTTACCAACAACATTTAATATACATTACCCATTCTTTCATGAAATACATCTCTTGACTTTCATGACAGACATCACACAATAGTACATACACTTGTGTTTTCTCCTGAAAACTGGCCTTACTTCTTGCCCTACTTTACTGGCATTTTCCTCTTTACTAGTCCTCTGAATATCTAAACATTTTGTAGTTTTAGCTCTTTCATTTAGGTGTTTTATTTATATTGAGCTCAGTTTTGTAAACAGTGTGAAGTAAAGGTCAGAGTTTATATTTTAGTGTATCAGTATCCAACTGTTCTCTTACCATTTGTTGGAAAGACTATTTTTTTCATCATTGAATACCTTTGCCCAAAATCAATTGACCATATATGTATAGGAATCTGTCTGTTCTTGGACTCTGTTCCATTGACTGTGTATCCTTAGACCAATACCACAATGTTTTGATTATTGTACCTTTATAAAAAGTCATGTGATCAAGTTCTGAGAATCTTCCAACACTGTCCTTATTCAAAATTGTTTTGGTTATTCTAGGTTCTTTACATTTCCATATAAATTTCTGAAACATTTGTGAATTTCTACAAAAAAAAATGGCCACTGGGATTTTGATTAGCATTCCATTGAATTTCTGGATACATTTCAGAATAAATCTTAATAATATTGAGTCTGACAATTTATTATCATGCTACATCTTTCTATTTAATTGAGTATTTTTGAATTTCCCTCAACAATATTTTGTAATCTTCAGAGTACAATATCTTGTGCATATTTTGTTAAATTTATCTGTAAATATTTTTGATGCCATTAAAATGGTATTGCTTTTTAATTACAATTTTAAATGTTCATTACTTGTCTAAAAAAATACAATTTAGACCAGCTGGCTCAGTGGTTGAGCATCGACCTGTGCACTAAGAGGTCGCCAGTTCAATGCCTGATCAGAACATATGCCCAGGTTGTTGGCCCAATCCCCACTGGCGGGCATGCAGGAGGCAGCCAATTGATGTTCTCTCCCATCGATGTTTCTATCTCTCTCTCCCTCTCTCTAAAATCAATAAAGAAAAATAAATTAAAACAAAAACTATTTTTGTATATTGACATTGAACCCCGCCACCTTGCTGGATTCATTATTAGTTATCTAGTAACTGTTTTTGTAGATTTTGATTTCTTTTTCATACCTTATTGCATTGGTTAGTTACCTCCAGTACAATGTTGACCAGAAGTAGAAAAAGCAGACATCCTTGCCTTGTTGTCAATCTTAGGAAGAAAGCATTACTTTTCATGATATTAATAGATTTTTGTCATAGTTGTTATTTACCAGGTTAGGAAAATTTTCTTCTAGTCCTGTTTTGCCAAGAATTGTTGTTTCTTTTTCTTAATGAATCATGTATATCTTTGCAAATGAAAGACATTTTATTTATTTATTATTTTTAGTTCTCATCTGAGGATATTTTTCTATTTATCTTCAGATATAATGGGAGAGAGGGAGAGAGAGAAACATTGATGTGAGAGGGACACATTGAGTGGTTGCCTCCTGCATGACCCCAACCAGGGCCAGGGACTGAACCACAACCAAGGTATGTGCTCTTGACCAGAATCAAACCTGCAACTCATTGGTCTGTGGGCCAGTGCTCTAACCACTGAGCAACCCGGCCAGGGCAAGAGTTGTTTTTTTGTTTTGTTTTGTTTTTGTGAATGAAATCTGAATTTTTAAAATGATATTTTTCCTGCATATTGAGATGGTAATGTGGTTTTCTTTTTACTGTGTTGATATAATAAATTACCCTGATTGTGCTTTGAAATTTGAACTAACCATGTATTCCCAAGATGAACCTAATTTTCTTAGTATGTCATCTTTTTAATAAATTGCTATATTTAATTTCTAAAATTTTTGCCTCTATGTTTGCATAATATTGGATTGTAATTCTCTTGTCTTGTCAAGTTTTGCTATCAGTTTAATGCTGGACACACTAAATAAGTTTTAAAGCATTCCATCCTCTTCTAATTTCTGGAAGATTTAGCATAGATTTGGTGTTATACCTTTCTTAAATGTTTGGGAGGTTTCAATAGTAAAATGATCCGGTCCTAAAGTTTTCTTGTAAGACGTGTGTGTGTGTGTGTGTGTGTGTGTGTGTGTAGAAACAGGTTTTTAAACTAAAGATTAAAATTACTAAGATGGATATAGAGCTATTCAAGTTATATTTTCTGTCTTTAGTAGTTGTCTTTCAAGGAATTTGTCCATTTATTTCATTGGCATAAAAATGTTCTTAATATCTTTACTGTTTTAATGTCTGTAGAATCTATAGTGATGGCTCCTCTTTAATTCCTGATATTGGTAATTTATGTCTCTCCTTTTTTTCTTGATCAGTCTGGATAGAGGGTTTTATCAATTATATTGTTTGTTTGTTTTTCAAAGAACCAACATGTAGTTTCACTTATTTCTATTTTTCTTCTGTTTCAGTCCATTTATATCTACTCTTTATTATTTCTTTCATTTTACTTGCTTTCATATTTTGCTGTTTTCTTTTCTATTTTCTCTAGAAGTTTAAACTGATGAATTGAGCTCTTTTCTCCTCGAATGTAAGCAGTTAATGTTATTAATTTTAATGTTTTCATTTTATTTAATTCAAAATATTTTTTACATTTCCTTGTGATTTTTTTCTATGATTTAATTAGAAGTGTGTTACTTAATTTTCCTATATTTAGAGTTTTTTCAGATATCTATTATTTATTTCTAGTTTAATTCCATTGTGGTTCGACAATTTACTTTCTACAGTTTCAATCCTTTTAAAGTTGATGAAATTTGTTTTATCACTCAGATTATGTCTATTTTAGTGAATGTTTCATGTATACTTATAAAGAGTGTATTCTGCTACTGTTGGGTTGAGTCACCTATAAATGTCAACTAGTTAAGTTGGTTGGTAGTGCTGTTCAAGTCTTCTATATTATTTATATTTCTTTTCAGTACTTGTTCCATTAATTACAGGCAGGAATGTCAAAGTCTTTACTATACTTATTAGTTTGAGTATTTCTCCTATAAGTAATAGTATTTTCATTTTATGGATGTTGAAGATCTAATTCTGGATATGTACACATTTAGTATTATGTCTTCTTAATTGACCCCTTTCTGTCAGATTCACACTCTACCCTTCTTTAGCCTGGACCCTAACTCAGGAGGCTGAAGTTTATAGATTACATCCTTGCTCTCTATGTTTAGTTTAATTTTGGCCAATGAGAGACACCAGGGGGACATTGGAGTGTGTAGGATAAGAGGTTTGGGTACTTAATCCTTTCAGTTCCTCCCTGCTGGATTGCAAGTTGGCAGTGGCCATGTTTCTCTATGAAGACACCATAGGTGTCTCTTACAGCAATAAATCTCCTTGGAGTCTGGTAACCCCACCTTCAGAAAACCTTACCTCTTGGGCCCAAGGATCATGATTCTCTGATTAGTTCTGGTTACTTCACCATCACTTTTAGTTTTCTGGTAACCCTGTCCACACTTTTTAAATGGTCCTTTCATTAAGCACCCTCAGTCACTTCTCTTGAGTATGTCATCTGTTAACTGCTGGGGTTCCTACTGATGTGACATGTGTTATAGTACTTGCTCATTTACAGAGAACTCATTTGGTTCTTTTTGTTTAAGTCACTGGTTCAACTAAATTTATCATTCAACATCAGGCACATGAAAAAAGGGGGAAAAACAAGGTCTATCTGGATGTTTTGAATAGAGAAAGAAGTAATAATGACTCTGCTGACCCAGTTCTCCTAAACTCAGTGGCAGGGCCCAATATTCTTATACCTAGGCACTATTTCCTAGGCATTGTTGTAGATTACATCATGTGTCATGCTAGAGACTCTGCATGGTCATAAACAAGCTGGAGCTGCAGCGGTCCCCTCAAAAGCATGATGTTTCATGGTACATCAGCTGAGCATAACAGACCCATCAGCGCAGCCCTAGGCTGTAGTCAGCATAGAGATCATGCTGTTTTCCCCCACATTGTACCACTTGTCAGAAATGTGCGATATTTGGTTTGAACAGAGGAAAGAATTATGATAGGTTCCCTAAGCGGGAATTAAATGAAGGAAAACCGGTATTGTGGAGGAATGAGCAATGGCGAATACTCAATTATAGCAGATTATATGAATGAGAAATTCTCATGTTTTCTTGACTCTGAAGACAGTGATACGTTGAAATGTGTTATCTCTGATTAAAATTAAGTTTTCTGAGGAGTAGATTTTCAAAGCATTAAAAAAAAAAAAATGCTGCGAATGGACTATACATTTACAAAAGCGTCCAGGTTCAAGCGACTTAAACTTGTCCGGATGTGTTGCAAAAAAGTGAAGCAACAGTTTTCATACCCGTGTTTCCATACACTTGGATTAGCCTCATTTCTGCATTTGCCTGGCTCACTACGCAGGAACCACAGGCATCCTCGACCTCAAAGAAGAGTTGGGGGCACCGTGCGGCCCCGGGGGAAAATGGCCCTCGCTTCTGACTGACTCACTTGAACAAAAACTCCTTTTTCAAGCCCCTTCGGAAGACAATCTGCTGTCCCAGTGCCTTGCTCGCCTCAGCCCCGTCTCACCTTTGTTGCTCAGTGAGATCCCGCCTTCCGACCCAATGCACCAATTAAAACAAACAGCGAAAGAAAAAAAAAAAAGCCAACAACGAGAAATAAGGAACAGGCGAAAAACTACACCAAATACTCTCGCGAGAAGTCGCAAGTGCCGGCGGTTCCCGCAGAGACCTCGCGAGTGGACCTCCGGGGGCGGGCTCTGCCGTGGCTCCGCCCTCCCTGAGCGTGGGCGCGGAGTGGCGGGAATTTCACGTTTGGGATTTGGACCCCACGGAGTCTGGGGCTGTGGTCGGGACCGCTACGGGCGGGTCTCGGGACCGAACGTGTGAGTGGGTAAGACGAGCACCGAACGGGCTGCCCCGCCGCGCAGAACCCTGCTCCTCTCGACCTGTGGCCGGCTCCTCCGTGTTCGTTTGGGGAGGGACTTGAGACTTGCCCCGCAGCCGCGAGGAGTGGGGTTGGCGCGGGGCCCTGCAGCTCCCCACCCGGAGTCTGCAGAGGGGCCCTCGCACGACACTGCGGGGAAACTGGCCCAGTGCGGTTTATAACGCAGCGGAGGGCGCGGGTCTAGGCGGGCGCGGGAGGTGAAGCTGCGTCTGCCGCGCGGACGTTTCTTCCCCTTTCCTCTGTCCCGGGCTGCACAGTCCGACCCAGGGGGCACTTAAAGTTCCCGCTACAACCAGACGGGGGGCGTTCTGCCTGTTCTGAGGGCCTTGATCCCCGGGAGTGGATGGGGGAGAGTGGTTGAGGATGTATGTGGCTTCTCAGTTTTCTTGGTGATGGAGAGGGGGGCGTTTTGGGAACTTTCTGACGTCACCCGCCCCACCTCCAGGAATTTCATCACAACTTCTCTGGAGCCCTTCATAATCATTATAATGAACCCCAAACATTTCAGGACATGAAGTAAACCATGGATATCTGTTCCGCTGCGCCGACGTTGCTGACCGACAGCTTGGAACTGGAGCTGGGAACAGAATGGTGCAAACCCCCTTGCTTTTCCTGCGCTTTTGACAACAGAGCAGGAGGAAAACAGTTTTCCGGCGAGTCCTACCTTTCCAGCGGAGCCCTTAAGCGGTAGGTAAAAAATCGGAGACTTTGTTTTACCCTCATCAGATTTTTCATTAGTTTGTTAGGAATGTTATTTAATACGATTTCAGGCAACTACATTTTGATATTCAAGCCATGTTTTTGTGAATCGGCTTAGTATATTAGCTCTGTTGCTGGATTCCTGGTTAAGAGCATACCTAAATATTTTTTGGTTATGAAGAACTTTCTTGCCACCTGATGTTCTCTCACCTCATTGGTGAGTTCTAATTTCACTTTTATTCAAAGGGAATCCTAAACTACCTGGGCATTTTGAAATGATGTTTCCTCCTAAAACATGAAGTAATATTTTGGCGCTTCTTAATAATTTCTTAAGCAAGACATGCACAATTTTTGTTGCCCTAGTTCCTTCCAAGTCTGTGTATCATTACATGTAGAAGTCTTATTTTTTAAAAACTTTCTAATAAATGCACCACATTGTGTACATTCACAGGAATGTTATTCTTCAAAGTTCTTGCCTTGGGCAGTTCTTCACATATTGCTGTAAAACTGCTGTTATTGGAATATGTGGGGAATACAGTGCCTTCCGAGGCAGTTTCAGTCAGAAAGGACATCATTTTTGTTGGTTTTATAGTTGTACTTTGAGACCTTAAAAGAGATTACTCAGTTTGATTATGCTGTTCTCCAGACATGACTTAGAATAATTTTTAGCTGTTTTAAAAATTAAACGACCCCTCAAAGGATAATTCTGTATCTGAAGACCACTATTAAACACAGGCAGAGTATTTGTGTTTTACACATACGTTGCATTGCTCTGTAGTTATACCTTTTTATCAGTATACAGGACTGCATTTTTAATACAGTTCTAGCTTTAGTATTCCTATGGGTATGGTACCAAGACATATCCTGGCTTTATAATATGATTGTTGGCATGTCATGTACAATATGGGTTCCTAGAATGTCAGAAAAGACATACTACAGTATGGACTTAGAATACTTTTCATGAGATTTAATCCTAGTTTTCATTTCAGATTAATTTTGAGTCTTGATCCTTTACCAACTAATTTTGAAGAGGATACAGTGGAACTATTTGGCATTCCATGGGTTACTGAAACAGCATTAGTGAATTCATCTAGAGTGCTGTTTCATTTACTCAGGTATGTTGTTTTTTTAGTTACCTAGGAGTATGGATGCTGTTCACTTTTGTAGTTACGTTGCTGTGTGGTTTCTAATACTGATATTAACAAAAGCACCAGTAGAGTTGTGCATGTTTTTCACTTGATTATCTTATCAATAACAAAATTAAGCAGTAATGTTTTATGGAGTAATGGTTTTAGTGAGTTGTTTATTAGTATATCTATTCTTTATCAGAGTCTTTATTTGACACTTGTATTCAAGACAAGTATTTAATGCTTTGAACTATATTATAGTTTTGGAAGAAAACCAAAATACTTCTGTTGCTTAATAGCCATAGTCTTCCAATGATTTTTAGAGAATGAACTCAGACTTCCCAAATAGGTCATTCAGACTCTGTAATAGAAATATGATTCACTAATATGATAAATTTGGACATTTAAAAATTTTAATAAAAAATTTCAAATAGAGACTAGTATAAAGAAGCTCCACATACTCTCCCTCAGTTATAATAAACATCAAGGTTTTATTACATTCCCTTCATGCATCTTCTTACTTTTGGTTTAAGTATTTTAAAGAAAATTTTAGGCAACCGTGTCATTAAATATTTCAGTATGAATTTCTTAAAATTACGAACTTTTTTCAAACATAAACACTATTTCATTATCACAGTGAACACAGTTGAAATAATGTGTCATTTAAAACCTAGTCCAGCCCTGGCCAGTTTTGCTCAGTGGTTAGAGCGTCAGCTTATGGACCAAAGAGACCAGGGTTCGATTCCAGCAAAGTGCACATACTCCAGTTGTGTTTTGTCCCTGGCCCCAGTTGGGTTGTGCGGGTGGCAGCCAGTCCATGTGTCTCTATCACATTGATGTTTCTCTCTCTCTCTCTCCCCCCCTCCCACTCTGTCTGAAGATAAATGTAAAAATATCCTCGGGTGAGGATTTAAATAAATAAATAAATTTTAAAAACCTACTCCATATTCAGATTTTAACTGATTTTGAAATGGAGTCAGTTGCCCTGATGGCTTTGGCTCAACAGTTAAAACATTGGCCCTCTGAATTAAGGGTCATGGGTTTGATTCTCAGTTAAGGACACATACCTGGGTTGCAGGTTTGCTCCCCGATCCGAGTTGGAATCGTGCCGGAGGCCAGTCAGTGTGTCTCTCTCACATCTATGTTTCTCTTTCCCTTCCTCCATCCATTTCAGTCTATCTAAAAACCAATGGGAAAATATTCTCAGGTGAGGATTAACCGAAATAAATAAATAAAATAAATAAATAAATAAAATGAGTCAGTTATTGAGGGCAAATTATTATTCAAAAATACATTATGAATATATATATTCCATATATATATATATGGTATATTTAAATGAAAATGGAGACATTGAGGGATTTCTCCTCCCACCCTCATCCCATAAGATTTTGTGAAGAGACGTCACTGTATGCATGCCATGTTATGTGTTTTACTGGGAGACCAGGCTGAGTTAGTGGTTCTCTAATTTTGAACATTACAGAATGAGTTGAGTCTTTATCCAGGACACAGGTCATGAATATGGGTCAATCTTTAAGGAGTTGAAAGGCAACTGGGAAGAATAGCAAGAGAAGATTACTTTCAGGAATTAAGGTGGAACATTATAAATATAAGTTTTCCTGATAACTCTGGTCTACATTATTCCTTTTTGAACCCCTACTGTATAAATGTGTGATACAGTTTAACATTTCATTATATAGCTGTTAACCTAGGATGTTTTATATAAGTATATTAAACTTCTTAAAGATTTAAATGGTATCTCACAGATAGTGACATGTATGACATTTGATATAATTTGAGATATATGCAGCTTTTAATATATTATTTTTGAAAGGTCAGACAAAGGCATATTTTATCTTTCCTCAAAGTCTTTACTACCTGAAGCTGACCCAGTAATAAATGTTCATGAAGTGTTAGAAACATTATCTATGTTGTTGTGACATGCTTTAAAGTATTCTAAAATTAACTCTCACTTTACATTTTTTAAATTAGGCAACAACTATATAACTTGGAAATCTTATTACAAGCAAGCTGTGATTTTGGTAAGTGGTGTGTTTAAAGGCAAATTACACTGAATTGCACGTGGGTTTTATGATGCATAATTGGGATCGCATAACAACATGTAGGAAGTGTTAGGTCAGAATCTCAGGATACAGTGTATTTAGTGTTTAGTGTAGCTGAGATTTACAGTATTTTTTCAGATCTGGAGGTAAAATTGATTTAAGGCTAAATATCTCTGAAGTGAATTAGTAATAAGCTTTGAGAATGAGGTTTGGAATAGAGAACTCATAAGAGAAATAGTACCAAACCCTATACTATCTTCTTGCTCTTCTTTTCTGCTTTCTGTTTTTGTTGTCTGTTTTGACATTTTACTGATTTGAAGGGGTGGCTATAACTAAGGTACTGAAGGGAATTGAAATGGATAGTATGTTTTAGTGCGGGCCTCCTGCTTCTCCATTATGGCAGTTTTGGTGCAGTTTGTATTTAGAATCATGGCTCTGTGATCAACCTGGGTTCCACCTTCTAGATAAGTGTGGGTCTCACACCAGGTAACAGTTTTCACCTCATTGAGTTCTTGTGAGAATTAAATGACGTAATGCAGGTTAAGTGCTTAGCCTAATATCTTATTAGTGATGCTCAACAACTAAAGATTACCTGGAAACACACCTTTGGTCAAAGAAAGGTTTAGTGGCTTACTAATGCAAGGGGAAAATCCACATCATGAGGAACAGTTGGAGCCTCCCAATAAGAAGGAGTAGGGAGGGGATTGTGATAGGGTTTGGGCTTGTGCCTGCTGATTCTGGGTAGAGTTTAAGGGTGCTAGGATTTTGTTCTGGATTGGCTGCTGTTAAGAAGCAGGGGCAAATTGATGATGATGTTAATTTTTATATAGAAGGTGAGACAAATAAAGGGATTCTAGAGAAGGTTCTAATTAATAAAGAAGCAATAATCATGTTAGCTGGAAGAGGGGGATGTTCTATTTTTGTGTTTTGTTTTTATGTGATTGTAAAATGCCTTGTTTCTGATTTCAGAGAGGGTTTGTTGTTGTCTTGTTTCACCATAATCCTGGGGTAGCCCCGTGTGGTTATTTTTTTGTATTTTATTAAAGTATAGTTGACATACAATATTATATTTGTTTCAGGTATACAGTATAATGATTTGACATTTAAATACCTTACAAAGTAATCACCATGATAAATCTAGTATAAGCATCTGTCATCGCACAAAGTTATTACGATTATTGACTATTCCCTTGGCTGTACATCCTTGTGACTTATGTATTTTATATCTGAGAGTTTGTACCTCTTAACCCCCTTCACCTTTTTTACCTATCCCCCACTCCCTCCCCTCTGGTAACCATCAGTTTATTCTCTGTATCTGTGAGTCTGTTTCTGTTTTGTTTTGTTTTTTATATCGCACACATAAGTGAAATCATATGGTATTTGTCTTTCTCTGACTGACTTATTTCACTCAGCATGATACCCCCTAGGTCCATCCATGTTGTCACAAATGGCAAGATTTCATTCCTTTTTTTTTTTTTATGGTTGAGTAATAATCCATTATATGTATATATATCACATCTCTCTCCATTCATCTATTGATGGTCACTTAGGTTGTTTCCATATCTTGGCTATTGTAAATAATGCTGCAGTGAACATAAGGATGCATGTATTTTTTTGAATTAGTCTTTTCATTTTCTTCAGATAAATACCCAGAAGTGGAATCGGTATGTTAATATGGTAGTTCTCTTTTAATTTTTAAAGGAACCTTTATACTGTTTTCCATAATGGATGTACCAAATTACATTCCCACCAACAATGCACAGGGTTCCCTTTTCTCCATATCCTGCCAACACTTGTTATTTTTTGACTTTTTGATAATAGCCATTCTGACAGGTGTGAGATGATATCTCTTGTGGTTGGATTATTTTTGATATTTTATGAAAACTATTTAATTTCAGTAAGGAGTACCTGGCCTAGCTGTTGTCGCCTGTCAGGGCTCTTTTACTTGTTTTGTTTTCTCAGTTTATGCTCAATAAATGTTGAGTATTTTTTCATTATCACTTGAGTCCCTGCTTTAGTATAAGGTACAGACAAATCAAAGTGGGAAATATGTTACTGAAGAGCTCGTAGTTGAGTAGGACAGGTAGACATGCAAGCATAGGTCAGCACAGTAAATGGAAAAGTAGTGGTAGTAGCATGCACAAGATGCTATGGGAGCCAGGGGCTTCATTTGTTGTTTCTATGGTCATCACTCAGTGATTCCAGATCTGAGTCTTCCATAATGAGGAGAAATTAGCTACACAGGATTTTGGGAAAGTATTGGGATAGGAAGAGTCCCAGGTAGAAACAACTGTATTGACAAAGACTTTGATGTAAGAAAACACTAAAAGTTTAGGGAGCATGAAGTAATTATGTATGGTTGGATCAGAGTGTGTAAGAGTGATGAATTTGGAAGAGATGAAATTACAGTTGTCTTTGTAAAACATTCCCAGTCAGAATTATATTTTGAAACCCTGGAGAACCTCTAGAAGATTATAGTGAACACAGCAAGAACTCTATACTGTGTAGAGTAACTTAATTAAACTGGATTTGAGGAAGGCATTTATTATGCAAGAATATTCCTTGAAAAACACTTACTGGCCTAAAATAGTACAAGGGACTATTTGTTGAAATGGTTATTTATTACACTGACATTTTGGCTGCTTTTGTTTCCTAAAATACTTTTAATGATAGATTGGTTGGACAAGTTAGCAGTATTAATGATTATTCCTAGATAAGGCCATTGCTGTCATGCAGCTGTTACCAGGGCTTTGTTAATAAACTTGTGTAGCTAGCTTTGGCCCTCAGCCCTCCCCAGAAAATCCTTATGTAGGGACACTTACAGAAGTGCATATGGTTCTTGTTCTCCTGTTCATTATGCTACCTGGATAGCTTTCCAGTTGAGGCAGAATAACATACAAAATATTGTATGTTTTGCTGATAGCTGTTGGTGTTACTCCTTTTTTAGATATTCTATTATTTTGTCTACAGGCATTTTATTTGGATTTTTATATCTTCTCTTTCTGGCTACATACTTTTTTTCCCATCCATCTTGAACATAAAGAGTATACATATTACCACTCTTTCTAACTTTGTCGACTTCTGATTTCTTCATCATTGTCATTTCTGGTTCTGTATTGATTGATTTTTCTTTTAGTCCTGTGTTACAGTTTTATGGTTCTTTGAACACCTAGTAATTTTTTTTTTTTAATCCTCATCCGAGGATTTTGTACAGACAGAGTGGGAGGGAGAGAGAGGAAGAGAGAGAGAGGGAAACATCGATGTGAAAGGGACACATCGAGTGGCTGCCACCCGCACAACCAGCCAGGGCCGGGGACAAACTGCAACCGAGGTACGTGCCCTTAGCGGGAACCGAACCCGGGTCTCTCCGGACCGCAGGTGGACGCTCTAACCGCTGAGCCAAACCGGCCAGGGCGAACATCTAGTAATTTTTTTATTGTGTGATGGATATTGTAGATTTTACATTGTTGCTTTCTGGGTTTTCTTGTATTTCTCTAACTAATGTTAAATTGTGTTCAGGCTTGCTATTGAGTACTTGTAATCCATTGGATTTTTTAAATCTTGCTTTATATTTTGTTAGGACTGTTAAAAAAGTAGCCTTTAGTCTAATGTTAATTTAGTTATAATAAGACTTGTGAGGATTCTTTTTGGTGTATTATGATTTAAAACAATATTCTTTCTGGTGGGAACTTGAACTGTTCCCTGACCTATATAAGTTTTGTAGAGAATTGTTTTCTGATGTTTTTACCTGGTTTTGGGCTATTTTTTTCTCATGCTTCAGCAGATCAGTACTCAGCCAAAGATTCAATGGGGACCCTCTGTACGTTTCCAGAACTTTTTTTTTTTTTAATGTAGCTTTTTTCTTCTTTGGTACTTCTGTCCTATAAATTTAGACCTTATGTCTCCTCGGATCAGTGATTTGGGGTCTGTTTGGGTTCTCTCTCCCTGTGCTACAACTTGGAAATTGTCTTTTGGGGGGAAGCTTGTGCAGTCTTAGGACTTAATGTCTCTCTGAGATAGCAGTCTTGCATTGCCTTGTTTCTGGTTCCTGAAAACTTTTGTTTTAATGTTGATTTTCTGGTTTTCTAGTTTGAGATGGGAAAATCTGACTCCTTTTACTCTATCTTTGCTGGAGGCAGGGGTTCATAGCCATTGTATTTATGAGTATATTGCCTTTATGGACTGAGAATTGTGAAACTGAGTGATGATATGACTTTTGTAGGTAAAATATAGTTAAGCTATAAAAATGCACTGCACTATTTAAGATATTTGCATAACATCTCCTCCTGTTGGTTTTGCTAAAGCAGTAGCCATGTTTTCTCATTTAAATTCAGATTTAGAAATGCTTTGCTTTATGTTTAATATGGATGAGAATTTGTTATCTTTAATTCTGATCATGTGTTTTTATGCTTTTGTTTAGTGATTGTCTCTTACTCATTTTTCTTATAGTGATTGTCAGTGTTTTGCATATAGTAACATTCCAGATAATTTTTGCTGATGTAAATGTTGAAGTCATAGGAAGATGGCATGGGTTGAAGTTGGGAGAAAGACAATATTAGTACATCAGTCAGGACCTTAAAAATCATTATAAGTAGTTTTGATTTTATTCTAAATACATTAGATAGCCTTTCATGTGTTTTGATTTAGGATGAACAGGAATTGAAATATATTTAAAACATATTTTGTATGTAGATTATAGAGGGGCAAAGGAGGATATGGAAAGACCTATTAGGGAACCTGTTGGAATAATTTGAGAAATTATAAGGAAATGGGTAGTTTGAAGGTATATTTTGGTCATAAACTTAATAGGACTTTGGTGGATTAAATACAAGTTTTAAGGAAATGGAAGAAGCAAGAATGACATAGGCAGCTACTGGCACCAGTTGTAATGAGTGGAGAAAACATGGGTGTGAACAGGTTTGGGAAGAAATCAAGGATGTATTATTTGTACTATCTGAGCAATCCAAGTACAAGATGATAGGCAGTTTGACATGCAAAGGAGAGGTCTGGGATACTTTTCAAGTCATTATCATTTTGAAATAAAGGAACTGGTCATACATGCAGGAAGATATGTACAGAGAGAAGAGGACTCAGGATTGAGTCCTGAGGAGTCCCCATACTAGCAGTAGAATAGAGGAGGAGAAGCCAGTTAAGGAGAGGTAGGAGAAAGGACATATGAGGAAGAAAAGACTGACAGTATATGGTGTCAGTGAAGTCAGGTGTAGCCAGTGCTACTGTGAGGGCAAGTTAGTTGAAGACAGGGAGTATCCAATATAAGTTTTGTTGGTGACCTTAATAATAGATGGGGGGTGTGGGGGGGTGTGTGTGTGTGGCAAGAATGGTATAGAAATCAGTAGAAAAAATTAAAAGAGAATTGCTGCTTGTATGTACTGCTCACTGATTAATTACTTAAGCTAGGGTTAACATTGTCTATTTTGGTTTCAGGAAAGATATCAACCCTGCACTACAAAGCAGACAATATTAGGCAGCAATGTGTAACATTTCTTCATTATGTTAAAGTTTTCATCTTCAGGTAGGATATCAGATGATTATTTTGATTACTGCATGAATTTCTGAGTGCATATTCATCCAGACTCTGGTTGTTTATTATATCTAATTGTTCTTTAGGTACCTGAACGTACAGAATACTGAGAGTCAAGCTCCTGTTCATCCCTATGAGGTTTTGGAGGCTCAGCTTCCCTCACTGTTGGTTGATGAGCTTAAAGGATTACTTTTGTATATTGGACACCTATCGGAACTTCCCAGTATTAATCCAGGGGTATTTGTAAATCAAAATCAGATTGAGGTTTGACTTATTTCATTTAATTTTTAAGTTACCATTTTTTTCTCCCTATAAAGAATATGTATTCAAGAAGGAAGGAAATTAGTCAAGAGCACAGCTCCTCTTTTTATTATGTTTCTTTGGTCGAGTAATACCTCTTGTCTCAGTATCCCCATCTGTATAATTGGTATAACTTCCTTGAGTTATTTGGAGAATTAAATAAATTAAGATGAGTAAAGCACTTAAAATATAGTATATACTAAATCTGATAACTGTTCTTTATTCCAATTTATAACAGTACAAATGTTTAAAAGTTTCGTATCAAATAATCTTTATTTTCTAAAATATATATTATCTTTCCTTACTTTTTAAAGATTTTTTTTATTGTTTTTTTAGAGAGAAAGGAAGGGAGAAAGAGAAACATCCATCGGTTGTTTCCTGCACATCCTCTACTTGGGAATCAAGCCACAGCCCAGGCATGTGCCCTGACTGGGAATTGAATCAGCAACGTTTCCATGCATAGGATGATGCCCAGCCAGCTGAGCCACATCAGCCAGGGCTCCTTACTTTTTAATTATAATAAAATTCAAGAGGATTACCTTATAAAAGCTATACTTTTAAAACTACATTTTGTCTATTCTGACTTTAGAGACTTTTTTAGAGTATGATTAAAGTTGTTTAGACTTCCTTGGCCAGGTGGCTCAGTTGGTTAGAGCATTGTTTCATACACCAAAAGGTTGCAGGTTCGATTCCTGGTCAGGGCACATAGCCAAGTTGCAAGTTCGATCCTCGGTTCGATCCCTGTTTTCTCTCTCCCTTCCTTTCTCTCCAAATTCAATAGAAACATGTTTTTAGGTGAGGATTAAAAAAACAGATTGTTTTGACTAATGCCCTTTTTTCTCTACCTTTATTATTCCATCTGAAGTTTGTTTTTAAATTTGTATTAGCAAAATCCAGCTTCTGGATATAATTATCAGATATAATATATATTATCTATAGGTTAATGTGAGTTTAAGTGGATGACAAATTATGCTTCCCAATGGATTCCCTGAACTCTCAACCTCTTCCATTCTATTTAACTTCGCCAGTTTAAATAACATTTAGTTTTTAGGAACATGTCTTTGTCAAAATGTAAAGTACAATTAAGTGTTTATATATTTCTGTGAAATATAACAACAAAAATTGACTTTTTGTGAGGAATAATAAAAGTAAATAGAGTTCCAACTAAATTCATAGGCTTATATGATAATGCATAGAAAGCAAATAGATCATTGCTTTTAATTATGTCATTTAATAAAGATTCATAGGTAGATTGTGAGGGAGGAATATTTTTTCTTCCTTTTAGTCTCTAAATTCAAACCATTTTTATTTTCTGGATATCCATCAAGTGATTAAGAAAATAATAATTTATCTAGGAGCAGATATAAAGAATGTGTGCAAGTTGCAAGGGTCCTCAAACTAGGTTTTGCCCTTCATAGGCTTTTTAATTGGGCAGACTTGAAAAGATAGCTTATTTGAAGATCAGAAGACTGAAATTTTAAAGCAGGGGAATGTAGTCTTCAAAACGTAAACGAAAAATCATACACTGAAATTCTTGTCTAAAACAACAGCAAAAACATCATACAAAATAAGCATCTTTCAAGAGTTTGTATATTTCTTATATTTTATCAATTTTATATGTGAAAAGTATTGATTTAATTAGTATTTTCAGTTGAGCATGTCTTTTTTTGGGGAACATTTTTATTAGAAATATTTGTGTATTACATATTACAAATAGTTTCATTTAGCTTTTTCAGCAATTAAACTGACTAGGTAGATTGAAGTTTTTTATATAGTTATATTTCTCAGTTTTTTTCCTTTCATATCATCTCTATGCTGATGTTAAAAATACACTTACGTTTACATTTATCTCTTTTTTAAAAATAATGCTAAGAGGTGGGAATCTAACTTTAGTTTCTTGCAAATGAATAAGTTGATAATTCTGTCTTATTGAGTGACACATCCTTTTCCCATTGATTTGAATACCACATTTATCCATTTATCTCTTCCCTATTTTTACTATTTTTTATTATATACTCCTGATCGAGTACTATTTATTAGTGTAGCATTTTATTTTGTTTGCACATTTGATATGGCAAGTTCCTTCTGCATCATTCTATCTAGTTGTCTTCATAGAACATGTGCATCATTGTATTTATTTTTCTTTTTTAAATATATTTTTATTGTTTTTAGAGAGAAAGAAGTGGGAGAGAGAAACATCTATTGGCTGCCTCCTGCACGCCCCCTACTGGGGATCGAGCTCACAGCCGAACATGTGCCCTGACCAGGATTTGAACCAGTTACCCCTCTTGGTGCATGGGACAACACTTAACCAACTGAGCCATACCAGCCAGGGCTCATATTTATTTATAGTGATATTAAATGTTGACTGGAAGAAGGTTATTGATAGTTAAAATCACTGGCTTTTTGGTCAAGTTAGATTTGAATACTAATGTGTAAATTGAGAGGTAATTTCTTTACCTCTTTTAACTTAAAGTTTCTCTCTTTTTTTAAAAAATATGTTTTTATTGATTTTTTTTTTTTTTTAAGAGAGAGAGGAAAGGAGAGAGAGAAACATCCATTGGCTGCCTCCTGCATGCCCCGTATTGAGGGTTGAGCCTGCAACCCAGGTGTGTGCCCTGACTGGAAATTGAACCGGGACCTCTCAGTCCATGGCACAACAATCCACTGAGCCACACTGGCTGGGCTTAACTTAAAGTTTCTTAAAGGTCATGACAATAATGCCTACATATAGTTTAAAGTGCTCTTGTTAACATTCTTTTCTGGGTATGTAGTACATTTAAAAACATATTTGCTAGCTAAAGTCTAAAACAAAATCTTGGAAATAAGTGTTTTTAAAGTGCTTTTACTGCCTTTTAGCTGTAGTATCAGAGGTTGGTTGGAAAGGGACTTTAATTTACAAATCTACATAGCAGCCCCAAGCTGGGTCTGTTTTAACTCTTTAGAGGGAAATATATCCTATCTTGCTTTCAAAATCTCTAGTGAAAGAATCTTCTCATGAATAAGACAAAGGTTTTCCCTCAGCTTTTGAATAGTGGTAGGTTAATTGATTCTTTGTCATGGTACTTATGGAGGAGTTTGTGATCTACTATCAAGTACCTTACATTCTCAGTCACAGCTGATGTCATTCACAGCTTTTCCCACCATCATGGCATTTCTTACATCTCCACTTGGATATCCATTGGCTGGTGCTAGAAATTCTTCAGATGCTTGGTGAAAAATTGAGTAAGTTTATGGATTTCTGATTTATGTTTTTTGTCTAATCTAAACTTTTATTTTTTAAAATTTCACAAGTAGTAAGGTTTTTTGATTAAAAAAAAATCAAATAGCAACCTAAGTAAAAAGTGAAAATCTTTTTTTCTGGAGATAGCTATTGGAAACAACTTAGTCTGTTTATTTTCCATACTTTCTATTAGTGTACATATATAGAAACTCATAGGTAGGAGTTTTGTTTTGATTTCTAACCACAAATGCTGTTGTCATATTGTTCTGTGTAGTGTGTATCATTAAACAGTTTCATTAAACAGTTTTTTAGAGATGTGTTCATGTTCATACATATGGTTTTATTTGCAGGGGTGGGGAACCTTTTTTCTGCTAAGGGCCAATTGGATATTTATAACATCATTCACGGGCCATACAAAATTATCACCTTAAAAATTAGCCTGCTATATTTGGTCAGGTTAATTTGGTGAGGTGTGTGTTTTTAGCTGGTATTGATTTTATGGGCCTTATATGGCCAGTGTGCCTTATGCGTCCCATGGGCCAGACATTCCCCACCCCTGAAAGGGCTTGGATATAAAGGGTCTATCATAATTTATTTAGCTAAGTTTATTTTTAAATATTTCAGTTATTCTCCTCTTCTGATATTACAGATAATACTATACCGAACATCCTTGTGTATATATACATCTTTCAATACTTGTACAAGTTATGTTGCAGAATAGATGATGATTAGAATTGGAGTGCCATATTACAGTTTTAATATTGTATATGCTCTCTGTTGCTGTAGAGTAAATTTACTCAATTTGTATATACACTAACTGTGAGCATGCCTTTGTTTCATACTATTGCCAGTAGTGGATATTATCAGTTATCTTTATTTTTTGCCAACTAATATGTAAAAAATGATAATGAATCTCCATTTTTGCAGTTTCATGATTAACAGTGAAGTTGAACATCTTCACATAATTTTATTGCCTTCTTATATTTTCTTTATTGTTGTTCATAATCTTTTGCAAATATTTCTGTTTTTAAAAAATTAGTAGACGTTTATTACAGATAGTAATATTTTATTTCTTATGTTGCCCTTTTTTTTTTTTTTTTTTTAGGTCTTGCTCTTTGGTACATTTAGGTTCTATGTTAAGTCTAGCAATATTCTGGAAATATTTAGTTATAAAGTAAATTATTAATTATTTAGATTATAAAGACATCCATTACCTGAATACCTACTTTTCAGTTATAATACAAAAATACACATATGTCTCTATGTGTACACTTAAATATATACATACATACAAACATACAAAGGTGTACACAAATATATAATTTTTTTTCTCTCATGTGGACTCTATGGTAAATACTTTCTTAGATCAATACTCAGGTGGACTTACTCTGATACAGGTACAGATTTTGGTATCTCTTAACGTTTGTTTGCTCTACTTGCACGCCAAAAAAATTGCACATTGTTAGTTTATCTTTTGTTAAAAGAATAGTGTTTTAAGGCTTTATTGGTTAGAAATATGGGTGAAGAATTTCTAGTGTTTACCCTCTTTTATTTTTTTCTCTTAAATAATCTTGCTTGGTTATTTTACAAAGATGTCCACATTAAGAAAAGAGAAGTCTATTGAATGTTAATTGGAAGGACTGAAACATTTTTTGGATGATGTTTATCTGTGTTCACATAAGAAAGGAATTGTAAAATTTAACTACTATTTTCAAAAAGTTGCTTTTAACTGCATGTGTTACAGTTTTGTAATAAGTTAATTTAAAGGTGTATAATTACTTTCCTTCTGTTGTTTTAAGTAAAACTTATTTTATTACATTTTTAGAAGTTGTATATGGTCATCAGTTTATGAATCTGGCAGGTGACCATTTAACCAATGTCAGCCTATTTGAAGAACACTGTGAAAATCTCCTTTGTGATTTAATAAGTCTGTCACTCAATAGGTATGATAAGGTAATGCTTTAAAAGTTTATTTATATATTTGATACTTAGTGGCAATAGTCCTTAATCCATGTGGTTTAAGCTATAAGAATTTAACCTAAATTCTTGTTAATTCTTTCCATTTTATATTTACTATTATCTAGGAGTTGAATGGGAAAAGAATTTGATTTACACATTTAAAAGAGACTGGAATCAGTTTTCTAGAACTGTTATTTATTTAAAAGCCTTTAATTCTTGTCAAAAATAAATAAATAAAACAAGATGTTTATAATAATGACTGGAAATTTAACTTCTATTTAAAAAGGAAAGGCCAGCCCTTTAATAATCTAGTATATCGCTATTACACAATGAAAGAGATGAGTAATTAACTAAAGTTAGTTGACAATCTTAAAAGGCGGTTTTAGTTAACAAATTTTAAGGGAAATTTTGTTTGATTGTTTTCATAAAAGGTCTCTAGCATTATGGTGGAAATCATTTATTTTTACTAAATTGTGTTTATATATAGTGTTTAATGCAGACAGATGTAAAGGTGTTACAGTACACATTCATTTTCAAGTAATGGAAATTTATAGGTTTATCATCACTTATTTCCAATCACAAGCATAAACCTTATTAATGGGAAATTAGGATTTATAATTTTTTCATGTAGATTGTTTTATGTATTATCAATATCTCTTTACTTTATATGTTTATAATTAATAGGAGTGGTTAATCAGATATGATATAGTAATATCTTAACAGCTACCTTTTACAGTGTAGTATGTTAAAAATGTATAATGTATGTGAAATAATGTATATATTATAAATTTAAAAGTTTAGCTATACTTATAAATATAAACAATATTCTCTGCATTACTTAGGGTCATTGAGGATACGTTTGTTATAAAAATGGTAAAATTGCTTAACCTTTATATATCCCTAATAATTGTATTTATTCTGACTTGTAAAAAGTTTTAGTCTCCTTAACAGTGAATCAAAAATTATTTTCAATTTTTTTTTTTACTACAGGTCTTTTTATTGTGACTGATGGACTAGATTAGCAGTTCTTAACCTGTGGATCACAACCCCTTTGGGGATTGAACAACCCTTTCACAGGGAGTCGCCTAAGATATAACAGTAGCAAAATTACAGTTATGAAGTAGCAATGAAAATAATTTTATGGTTGGGGGTCACCACAACATGAGGGACTGTATTAAAGGGTCACAGCATTAGGAAGGTTGAGAACCACTGGACTAGATCAAAGTTAAGAAACCATGAGGTTAGAACATAGCCCCATCCAATGGCAGAGTTGAGTAGATATGAAAAGACAATATCATGAGTAAAGCTTCAGATATTTACTATCTAGCTCCTTGCAGAATGTTTGCTGACCATTGGAGTAGATAATTAAAGAGGAGGGTTTTTGTTAAAAGTTGAAAATAAAATTTATCCTGTGATTCTGGTTTTGTGATGGAAATTTTAAAAAGTTAATGAAATAGCACATATATATTTTGTAAATAATTTTATGTAATTAAGCATAAATTTTAAGTAATCTAAATCATGATTTTAAAGTATTTGGGAAGATGTATGGCATGTAAAATTCTGCTGTAAGTGTAACTCATTTGAGTTCTTTTCTACAGGTTAGGCCTTCTGAAGCATTAATGAGTCACCATTGCCCGTGTCCCTGTATTAAAGAATTATGGGTTCTACTCATTCATCTTCTAGACAACAGAAGCAAATGGTTTCTCTCAGAAGTAAGTTGTAAAATTGATGTATTAGTTATTGTTACTAATTATATTAAATTTATGCAGTTGGGTTGGCCAAGAAGAATCTTACAGCGTTTCTTCTTTATAAGACAACAACTACCACCAAACAGAGCATTAACTGAGTATTGAATACCTACTACATTTTTAACCCTAAATTGGTAATATGAAACATCTAAGAGAAGTATAAAATTTGACTCTTATTTTCTTAAGTTCTTTTTTGCCCCCCCATCAAGAATCTGTTGGGCTAAAAGATGTAATACCCTTTAGTAATTCAAGAAACATTTAAGTTAGGAAATATGGAGATTTAGATTTGGGAAGAAATAAAACAGGTTTCTGTTAATCAATTTTTTCAGTATTATTTCAAGGAGGGATGAAGAAAAGCGCAAAGAGGAAGGAAGATAGGAAATTTTCTTTCACCTCATTTTGAAACAAGTCTTCATAATGGGGCTTTATTTAATTTGAATTGTTATGGATTAGGAGAAAAAGAAATATCCATAGGCAGAAGTAAGTATAAACAATTCATGATATTTAAAATGGTTTATGTTATGTGAAAAAGTACTTTTGATATTTTATGGGTATTTTAATTTCCCAACTTTCCACAATTTGGGGTTTGGGTGTTGCTATCTAATTTTAATAATGACTATTTTTGCAAGTTTACAAGTACAATATTTATTTATTTGTTTATTTATTCATTTTAATCCTCACCTGAAGATGTGCTTATTGATTTTAGTGAGAGGGCAACTGGGGAGAGAGAGAGAGAGAAATATTGATGTGAGAGAGAACATCAGTTGGTTGCCTTCTGTACATACCCTAACCAGGGATCAAACTTTCAGCCTAAGTATGTGCCCTGCCTGGGAATCAAACCCACAGCTATTTGGTGCACGGGATGATGTTCCAACCCACTGAGCTATATCAGCCAGGGTGCAAGTACTACCATATTTATTTTAGTTATTTTAGCAGTAAACTTACTAAATTAGAATAAAGCAAATTTACTAAGTATAAATTTTTTGTATTTTTACTTACTATTGAGTAACAATTTTTTTCCTGGCATTTTGCTTTATCAGTACAGTTCAGCTCTCTCTGAGATGTAAATATTACAAAGTTTCAGCAATTTTTTTTCTTTTGATTATTTGCTAGGATGTTTTATTTTGTTGACATGGTAAAATTTTTTTCATTTTATGCAAAGCTTATCTTTATTGTTTAACAATTTTATATATTTTTAGAATAGTTCTTATTTTATAAATTTTAGACTTGTAATTTATATATAGTTAGTGTAGGCATGGTTATACTTGTTGCCATTTGTGACATTTTCTAGATTTTAAACAGTAAAGAAGGCATAATTTAAAATATTAGTTGTAGAAATTTGCATAGTAATGTATATGTTGTTTAACTTGAATGATTTGTATGCTCATTTTATGTAGTAACCAGACTTATTTGTCTTAAAATAATAAATATCTGAAGCCATTTAATTTTTTAAATAGTACTAAAGTAAGTTATATTCTCAGATTTCAAGACCATTTTATTTGAAAGTTAAATTAGAAATTTATATTCTTGTTAGTAAGACAGCTTGATCTTCCTCCTAAAAAATAATCTAGTCTAATCATGCTGGGTATCAATAAGAAGCAGTTTTAAGTGTGTCATTGAGCTTGTAGAAAGTAAGAAGTACTGAAGCCAAATACTCAATAGAGGTGGGAACTCAGGTCAGCTGAACACTGAAGCTGCCTCATCAGTTTAGAGGTAGTTGCTGAATTGTATAAACTTGAACATTAGCTTTCGTACATTGTAAAGTACAAGCATAGAAGATAAAGCTCAGAGTTGACCCAAATCTATAGCCTACTAATATACCAACTATTCCTAAGTCTGGCCTCCCAAAAGGATGCATTCAAAATTCAGCTAAATTTGTAAGGAAAATTGCCTATCTTTAACTGTGGTGTACTGCAATTTAAAATTGTGTATTTGTTATTGCAGGCCAGTGAGTTCATGGTGCCTAGATGGTACTCATATTTCAAGCCAGTGACTTCTAAACCAGTGACATTGTCTAATAGCCATGGACAATGGGTGGAGGCTTAAACTTGCAGCTTCCCACCTAACCTCCTCCAAAATACAGAGCATCAAGAACAAATAAAATACAAAGATCATTTTGATAGCATCACTAGAAGATAGGAATATTCAGAGATTTATATTAAAAATGAAACCCACCAGAGCTCTACCACAAAACTTTTAGCAAACCAGGGTAGTCAGAAAAATTGCTCAGAGGAGAAAAGAAGGGAGCCAGCAGTAGCCATAAAAGTTGGTCTAAAACCATTGCCAGAATGTGAAAAAGCTGCCTTGTCAATCAGAGAATAGGTGATAGGATAGGAATAGAAGTATGTGCATTTACATGAGGGGCAGTCTTTGAAGGTAGAGCTTCTGGAGAATAAAAGTCTGGAAAGCAAGTGCGTTTGTCCCTTGGTGACTGAGTGGTGAAAGTTACAGGAAGCAAAAGCAGAAAATGTAGGGTCTTGTAAAACAAAAGAGCAACAAACAAACAAAAATACAGAACTCACTCACCATCACCACCAAAAAAAAATGGAAACCTAGTAAAGAATGGGACTTGGGTACATTGTCAAAAGAGGGCTCCATTTAACTAGGAATCTTAAAGTAGTCCAGATCTACAAAATGAAAAGAAGGAAATTTAACAGGTCTTTCTAAAGTTACTGCAGTAAAACAGAATTGATATACTTTAGCCAATGATACCCTCTCTCCCAGAAACAGCTATAAAGCAGAAGAAAATTTTAAGACAACACTCCAGACTGTATTAAATAGACAAGCATGTGGGTCTGTAAAAAAACAACAACACACCTTTAATAAGATATTCCACTGTTGAAATAAAAAGGCCAAAAAGCAGGAATGAATGGAGTAAATTGAACGCAGGAGAGAAATGGAAATAAAGATCATTTTAGAATATATTGAATTACAAGGTCCCTAAGGAGAATAGACTCAAATGAAAATTTAATAAGGGGCAACCAAAGGAATAAAAATGAGATGAAGGAATAAAAATGAGATGAAGGAATATAAAGGGTTAGAGAGAAAATGGTTGAAATGGAAGATAGGCAAAGAATAACTGTATGTTTAAATGGAGTCCCTAAAGAAGAAAAAGTGGTATATAACCAACATTAAAACAATGAATGAATTCAAGAAAACATTTCAGAAATAAAAGAAGAACTAAATCTGTGTATTGAGAGGGCCTAATGGGTAACTGGGAAGATTAACTCCTAATAATCCATGCTGAGACTTAACCTGCTCTAACTCCTTGACTTCAGACATACAGAAAATATCTTCAAGTACTCTAGGAAATCTTCAAATTCTCCAGGCAAAAAATCCAATAACTTACAATAGCAAAACAATTTGACTTGCACTGGACTTGCACTGGACTTCTCAAAAACAAGACAACTGTGGAGAATTTAAAAAGACTCAAAAAGTCTTGTGAGGACACAGCCAAAAGTCTGTGATCCAGAAGAGGACCCTCACCTGACCATGCTGACACCTTGATCTCTGACCCTTAGCCTCTAGAACTAAATGAATTAACAATAGGACACAATGGAACAATCTCATCTTAGAAAAGGCAACTTAGGTCTTACTTTTTACTGTGGAGATCATATGGAATTAACTATGAGAAACTACCTTAATAAAAAACTCAAGGCTAAGAAAAAGTGACCAAATCAAAAGGAAACAAAACAAAAATGTCCTTCTAAATCAGTGAAGAAGCAAGTTAAAAGCGACTCTTTGCACTGACTATCTTACATGCAATGGCTTTGGGAACCGAGATGGATGTGGATTAGCGGAGAAAGAAAAACAAAAGCTTCAAGAACAGTGAAGCTTCCTTATTTCATCTACCTGGTAGTTAACGGTATCACAATGCTGAGAGTAGGCTAAGGCTCATCCAGGGCCTGCTCTTAGGAGCACTACTTCAGACTGCTGAAAGCAGAGATTTCTTTTTTCCTATCTTATACAAGGATTTTTTAAAAGTTTATAGTGTGACAATACTAATTTATACAGTATACTCAGTTTATTTCTAAAAAGAAATTATGTGTGCATATTTGTGTGTACACTAACATTCTTAGAGAACGAAATATTTAATTCTCCCTACCTCTACCCTCTGCTTTCCACCCCCAACCTCCCATCTCTGGAAGGAGGGAGGGGAATACTGAATGGGATTTGAGGCTTTCCTGCTGAGAAAAGGACATTTTCTGCAACTAGATCAGTGTTTAAAGGATTAATGCTCTAAGGAAATTATCCAAAGGGGAGAGGCAGTTCTGGGTTATTAAGTTATTTTCAAATGTTGTCTAGGCTGCTGCTGACCTTTGTGAAGGCAGTAGGATGCTACTCTTCAGGGGCGCAGGATAAGAAGCAATTAGAGAAACCTAGGAGAGGCTTTGGAATGTTTGGGAATTCACATATACCCCAAATTACGTGGGAACTCTAAGAATGAAAATAAACTGGTTTGGTCAAGGACATATTTGTGTGTCCCAGAAAATATTCTAAACATGTAGCTAATACTGGATGTATCTATATGAGTGTTTTCCTAAAAACCCAACATTCATATCTGGTAAACTTCAGTTCAATTTCCCAGAAGAGAAGGAAAGCTAATTAATATTCCTGGAGTGATATTTCTTATGTGCCAGAAAGCAGAATGGGTGTGAGGTTAAGTAAACTGTTCAAATAACAGTCAGAATATATAAAGCTGGGTTTCAAATGCAGATGTATTTGATGCCACAAGCCATGTTGTTTTCTACTACATGATTATGTAAGAAAGTGCATGTCTAAGAAAGTTAGAGAAAATGAAGGAATAACTGAAATAATTTACTCTTCTTTTGGGGAAACAGACTTAAATATATTTTATGTGCAAGTTCACATTCCCAAATGTGCCAGGAATGATAATATGTATATATGTTGCCACCTTTAAGCACTATACACAGAATGTTACAAAATTTTTCTGTAAAGTAAAAACACAAATACCACACAAAAAAAGACTCAAAGTATAGGCTAGGGATTTTATAACCCTGACCCTACCAGTCCTACTTCTAGTAGTTTACTCTCAGTATACACCCACAACAATTCAAAAATACATATGCATTAGCTGTTTATTGCAGCATTATTTGTAAAAGCATAATATTAGAAACTACCTAAGTGCCCATACACAGGAGAATGGTTAAACAAACCATGGGATATCTGCACATTGGTGTGTTATGCACTTGGACAATAGAATAAGGAAGATACGTGATCTGATAATGGAGTGATTTTTAGGATTTATTGGTAAATGGAATAAACAAAGTACAAAAAATATTTAGAGGATACTACCTTTTTGTGTAACAAAGTTGAAAAAATAAGGAAATATGTATATGTAGTAGTTTACAAAGGAATACTGGGAAGACAAATCAGGAACTATTGAGACTAGTGAGTGAGAATGGAGTGGAGGGTAATGTGTTGTGCCAACTTTAGAACCATGTTAATCTTGCATGCACTGCAGAAATAAACCAACATGTATGGAGAAGGGGAATAAACAATTGAACCTAACAGTATTACAAGTGGATACAGTTAAGTAGGGTGTGAAGTAGGAAGAGGAGTAATGTAGGTAGCTTAGAATGTACTATTTTGACTATGTCTCTAAGGCTAAAGACAAAAAAAACTAAAGAAGTGCAAATACTGGACTCCTTTTAAGAGATTTGTCTTTTGCAGTGTTGCATATGGGTTAGCAATTTTAAATCTATATTTTTAGTATTCTAGGACTAAGCAAATTTGTAACTATGTTGTGGGTAATTAGAGCTAGCTTAGAAAATTGTTAGGAAATTGAGTTGCAACTATGGAAAGAAGGAAAGCTAGAGTGAACCATAATGTGTTGAACTGGATTAATATAGCATCATGAAATAATAGTTTTTAATAATTAGAACTAGATATAGATGTATACGTGTGTGTACATACATACATTTCCTACCTTATCTACTGAATGGGCCTAGAAACAATGATATCTGAGTAACAATGAGCAGTATGAAGCTATATCTTGGTTTTAAAATAACCATTTTCCAGTGAAAGAAAGTAAGACTTGGTAAATGACTGATTACTGGCTGTGGCATGGAAAATAAAAAAGTGAGCCTGGAACATTTTTTTTTTTTTTTATCCTCACCCGAGGACATTTTTCTATTTTTTGTTCAGATAGAGCGGGAGGGAGAGAGAGGAAGAGAGAGAGATAGAAACATCGATGTGAAGGGACACATCGAGTGGCTGCCATCCGCACGACCAACCAGGGCCGGGGACAAACTGCAACTGAGGTACGTGCCCTTAGTGGGAACTGAACCCGGGTCTTTCTGTACCACAGGCCGACGCTCCAACTGCTGAGCCAAACCGGCCAGGGCGAGCCTGGAACATTTTGTATCAGGAACGAAGAAGGTACTCAAAAAATCATGAGGAAATGTTAAAAGGACACGAGAGCCAACTTGAAAATCAACAGGTCAAGCATGAAATAATTTGAGTAACAAAATAAATGATGGAAAGGACCATAATCTATACAATAAGAATTTGTGAGTCCATACTGATATAAATGGATGAATAAATGAAGAGCAGAGTAACTCTAATAAATGTAGAAATGATGGTGGAATTAGCAGATCACCAGTTGACAACCCCATAGTGATAGTTTCCAGTAATTATGCTCAGTGGCTGCCAAAAGTATCATGAAAAACAATATTTACATAGCTTGGTAGGTATCTTTACATGGTATTTATCAGTTACAAAGGGAGTAGCAACTTTACAGTGCAGAATATCTGGCAGATACCAGTTTAACCAAGTGATCAAAGTTAACCAATAATAGGACACATTGATATTGTATACCTTCAATATGATGCAGTGAAAGAAGGACAAAAATGTTTATTTGGTATTTCTGCAGAAGAGGCATAATGTAGACCTACCCATGAAAAACATCAGTCAAACCTAAGTAACTGGCCCATAGTCTTTAAAACTATCAAAGTCATAACAGATATATCTGAAGAACAGTTATAGATGAAGAAAACTGAGGTGACATGGTAGCTAACTGCCGCACGAAGAAGAGAGGTGTCAGATATACTTCTAATTACAGTTCCAAAGGAGAGGAAGTAAGAGTGGAATTGAGAACATATTTGAAGAGAAGATAACTGAAAATTTTCCAGTGTTAATGAAAACTATCATGTTAAAAAACCCAATGAATTCCCTTTAGAGTAAGTAAAAGGATAAGCACATCCAGATACAATATAGTAATCAAAGACAAAGAGAACATCAAAGACAGAGAAGAGATTGAAAGCATTCAGAAGAAAAAATGTTACCTTTAATAGAGTACAATTAGATTGACAGCTAACTTCTCAACAGCAATGGAAATTCTTCATCCAGCAAAATCTTTTAAGAGTAAAACGAAACAAAACCTGTTTCAATGAAGCAAAATTGAAGGGAATCCTAGAAGATATATTTTAGGCTGAAAATAATGATGCCAGAATGGAGGTTCTGAGATACAAGAAGGAATAAAGAGCAAAGAAAGTGGTAAATGTTTTATATAAATCAATATGATCTAGTGGAAATGAAAAATAGAGTTTGAGTGTACAGTAATACTGGCATGAAAATGGGAAGGCATAAATGAGTTAGAGTATTATAAGGTCCTTGTTTTGTCTAAGAGATGATATAAACTTATCAAAACATTTAGATGTATTTCTAAGGTGATCACTAAAAGAAGAGAAAGTAGACTATTTAATTTACAAGCTATTAGAGGGGGGGAAAATGAAATAAATAACAACCCAAAAGAAGGTAAGAAGGAGGTGTTGGAAAAATTAAGTGTACAAATAGAAACACAGAATAAGATGGTAGTTTTAAAACTAAATATGACATATTAATTGCAAATAGACTACTAAATGCTCATTTTAAATATATACTGTTACAGCTGCTTATAAAAGATAATCTAAAAATACAGAAAGGTTCAGAATTAAAAATAATATATATGATAGATAATGTATAAACTAATATTGGAGAAAATAAGACTTTAAAACAACAAAAGCATTAAGTCATTTTATATTGATAAAAGGTACAACTTAGCAGGAAGATAAAACAAATCTAAAAATTTATATGGTTTAATATGGTAATAAATATAGAAAATAAAAATCCACAAAACTACAAAGAGAAATATACATATGCTCAGAGATATTGAAATATATCTCTAAATAACCTATAGGTAAAAAAAAGAATATACGCCCTGACCAGTTTGGCTCAGCAGTTGGAACATCAGCCTACAGACTAGAGAGTCTTGGGTTCGGTTCCCGCTAGGGGGCATGTACCAAAAAAAAAAAAAATATATATATATATATATATATATATATATATATATATATATATAATGGAAATTTTAAAACTTTTTGAAGGAAATAGCTAACATTACTACTCAAAGCTTTGGGACTGCAGCTACAGATATAAAGAAGGAAATTTATAACTTTAAATGCCAATGTTAGAGGAAGAAAATGGAATTAATGAGCTAAGAAGTTAGGATAAAATTCCTGTATAAGAAACCCAAAGAAAGTAACAGGTAGCAAATTAAACTAGCATAAAATTTTCAAATTGAAAATAACAAATATGATCGAATCAATGAAAAAGAAAAGTCAAAAGAATATATACACCCCTATGTTTATTGCAGTGTTATTTACAATAGCCAGGATTTGGAAGCAGCCCAAGTGCTCATGAGTAGATGAGTGGATAAAAAAAACTGTGGTATATTTACACAATGAAATACTATTCGGCTATTACAAAGAAGGAACTCTTACCCTTTGCGACATCATGGATGGATCTGGAGAGTATTATGGTATTATGCTAAGTGAAATAAGCCAGTCAAAGAAAGACAAATACCATATAATTTTACCTATATTTGGAATCTAATGAACAAAATAAACTAAAAAACAAAATAGAAATAAACTTATAGATGCAGAGAACAGACTAACAGCTGTAAGAGGGTTTGGGGGTTAGGGGTCTGGGTGAAAAAGGTGAGAGATTTAAACACAGACAACAGTGTGGTGACCACTAAAGAGTGGGAGTTGCTGGGGGGGTGGTGGAAAAGGGTAAAAGGGGGATAAATGGTGATGGAAGGAGACTTGACTTGGAATGGTAAACACAATACAATATACAGATGAAGTATTACAGAATTGTACACCTGGTATCTACATTATTAACCAATGTCATCCCAATAAATTTATTTTTAAAAAAGAATAAAAACATGCATTAAAACCCCATAAAACAACAGATGAAGCCAAAAAATAAATAATTTGAGCTTATATACCCATATGGCAAAACTTATAAAAACAAGGGAATTATTTTTTTGAAGGTCAGGATAATAGTTACTCAGGTTGTAAAGATGTGATGTGGGAACATGTAGGATCTTTGTAAAATAATGACTCATTTTAATTCTTAACCTGGGTACTTTTATTAATTTTTAAGTTTTATATATTTATTTTATATTCTCTTTGCATGCATATTTCATTATAAAAATGGAGGGGAAAGCCCAAAGCAAAGGTTACTGGATCAGTGTTTATTTTAATTGAATCATATTACCTCTGTTTCTATAGTCATTTTGGAACTGGTTGAATAAACTACTCAAAACACTCTTTGAAAAATCAAGTGAGCAAAGAAGACCTTCTGTGCCTGTAATCCAGTCCAGGGACCCGTTAGGTTTTAGTTGGTGGATTATTACTCATGTAGCATCACTTTACCAGTTTGATCGCCATGGAGCACCAGATGAAATGGTAAGATTTTATTTTTTTAAACTTTCTTGTATTATCAATTAATACATATTTTTAGTAGAAACATTAGAAAGTAAGTAAGCAGAAACAACAGCAAAAATCAGATTATAAGCTACAGAGATAATTCAGCTTCTGAATCTAGAATCTGTAGACCTTTTTGTAAACATCTTGAAAAATCAGAATCTTTATGTTTTTATTGTTTAAGAAAAGCGATTTGTAGCAGAGCTGGGATCTAGTCCTGGTTCTGCTCCTCAGTAGTTGTGTGACCTTCAGTGAATTACTTGAAACTTCCTGGGTCTCTGTTCCCTCATCCAGAGATCACGATTGGATTTTTAGAAGATAACCTCTATTTCTAAAATCTGTAAGATTGCCAAATGAATTAGTAGGTTTTGTGAATATTTTGGTAAAATTATTTCCTTAAAATAACACTTCTTCATAGAAACTTTTCACAGAGATATTTTTATCTATTAAACAGCCATGAAGTTTACTTCAAATAGAATGACAGATTTTGCCTAGTATATTAATTTCTAGTTAGAAGCATTTTTACAGTGTTATTTAAAAAGCCCTAAGACTAAAACAAGCTGGTAGATGTATTTATGTGAAGCATTATTTGTATACAACTTCCAGGTTCAGAAATGAATAGCATAGTATTATATCATCCCATCAGTTTCATAAAATAAACATTTAGAATCTTGAAGCTAGTCTGTCGCTATTTTCAAAATTTGTCTTTTTTCTGGGAGTGATTCCTAAACCTAGCTGATGATCAAACCTACCTGAAAGTTTTTTAAAAGTTACATTTCTGGGGTTTAATTCTGGAGGTGTTGATTTAGTTATCTGTTTTGGTGTTTGGGGATCCTTATTTTATAAAGTTCCTTGGCTTGCCCTGGCCGGTTTGACTCAGCGGTTAGAGCGTCGGCCCGCGGACCAGAGAGTCCCGGGTTTGGTTTCCGCTAAGGGCACGTACCTCAGTTGCAGTTTGTCCCCGGCCCTCGTTGGGGTCGTGTAGGTGGCAACCACTCGATGTGTCTCTCTCACATTGATGTTTCTCTCTCTCTCTTCCTCCTCTCTCCCTCCCATTCTGTCTGAAGATAAATGCAAAAATGTCCTTTGATGAGGATTGAATGAAATAAATAAATAAATAAATAAATAAATAAATAAATAAATAAGTTCCTTGGCTCTTATCCTGTCTCAGGTATGGGAACTATTGCTTTATGAAACGTGTTTCTTGTTGGACTTGATAGATTTTCCTCTCTTTGGCATATTGAACAGAGTCAGCTGAGAAATCTTCATGGAATGTGGGGCAGTTAGTATTGACATTGTGTTGTAGAAACGGAAAGGGTCTCATGTCCTCTAAATAATCCCCCTAATAGTAAAAATCCTACTAAGGGGATTCCAACATAAAGTAAAGAAGAGACAGAAAGTGCTCAGAGGCATTCACATACAGCTTGGTGTCAAGTATTTAAGAGTTCTACCATATGTTGAGCAAGGTCAATAGAATGAGCTACTCACAGAGGACTGTATGTCCTTTGTTTCCTTACCATGCCGATACACAGTAAATACTCAATAAAGGTTAGCAATTATCATCATTACTATAATATCCCTTTTATTGAGTATTTTTGTGGATTTAACATGATAATGTTTCTCATCTTTTAATTATTAGAAGATGAGAACAACATTAAAGAACTCAAAAAAATCTACCTCTAATTCTAAGATCTTTACTTAGCATTTTTATTTCTCTTACAACCTTCCTCCAAGTACATATTTCTGATTTGAATTGGCATAAATAAATATGGTAATTAGTTAGGCACTTCTGAGTTCCTGTAGAGTGAGTATTATAACAATAGATGCCAGTGATAGGATATACATGAAACGGATTATACCGCCTCTTTCTTCAAGAAACATGTTTTCAAGTTACTAATGCTTGTTGGAACTGCATTAACACTCATTTGAGTGAGTAGTGTATTTCAATAGTGGTTGCAGTTGACCCCCAGATAGCCACACTAATATATATCATTATTATTACTATTGTAACGTTGAGTTGTACTAGTACAGACATCCACAGTAGCATTGCTGAAATCACTCTTCTATTTTGTACAGAAAATTCCATAGCAGATACTGCTTTTACTAGCTCTGAATTAAGATAGTAAATGAATTTTCTGTGTTTAAAATAGTTTAACCTTTGTGTTTTAATATTTTTCAGCAGTTTTTGTGTGATTTTCTTTTGCCAAGATATGTATGCTTTTTAAAATCTTAATTTTTTAAAATTATATAATAGGAATTAAGAGGAAAGAGACCCATGATATTTGAAAAAGAACCTTTCATGTAATAAAAATAATAAAGATGTGTAATGTGTGTGTGTACACACACACACACACACACACACACACACACTGCTTTTATTCACAAGTCCTCAGAGTCACATATTTCTGGACTTCTTAATGGCTTAAAAAGATAAATCTCAAAGTCTCCAGTTAGTAATCATTTTCAGTAGGAGTCATACCTTTAGCATATTGTATTTGTAAATTGTTTAATATCACAGTGACTATTCAGTTTTTATCTCAGGTGTTATGAAGTACATGAGAGGGTAATATATCCATTTCACAAGTATAGAAACTGAGGTACAGAGTGTTTAAATATCACCCTATTTTTGTCACTGAACATAAACTTATATTGGGGTTCTCCTGAGGAGTGCCTCTTAAGAATAGGTCTTGAGAGGGTAACCATGTACACCAGTTTGCCATTGACAGTCCCAGTTTATGCCTATTACCCCTCATCCCATCTGGTTAGTTTTTCCTTTTACTCTCAAAAGTATCTCATTTGGTTTATAAATCACGTGATCTATTCTAATCTATGAACATAAAGACATATTGACTCATAACAGCTTATGTAAGATGTTAATTTGAATCTAGGATATATTTATATTTGAATTTTGAAAATTACCTGAATTCTTTTCTCCTTAATATGTATTAGTATTAGCATATCCAGCTACCATATAGAAAGTGTTATGTATCAAGCATGCTTTATTCCACTAAAAAATTATCTGGTGTGAGAAGATGAATAATAATGGTTAGTCATATGTTCTGTAGCAAATGAATACCTCTGGTCTTGTGTTAACCATAGAGATGTTTCAGTTTTTAAGTGTAAACTGCTTTGCCTTGAAGGAGAATGTGAAATCTTTATTTAAATAGGTTTCATCTATAGTTAATTTTTATTTTATTTTAAAAGTTTCTGTAAATGGACTTTTGCTATGTGGATTTAAATCACAAAACTTGCCAGTTGTTTAGTATAGGCCTATAAGAAAATTTGGTATCTCACTTCTCATACCAGATGCTTTAGGTTTTCATATATTTCTGTTTAGTGCTTTTCTCTCAACCTGGATGAGAGTGTGTTACCCTGTCACAGTCCTAATCATCTATTTTAAAAGCAAATATAGTTTATAGAGAAAAATTACTTTTGAGCATTACAAGCATCGATTTAACAAAGCTATCTCTGCCTATAACATAGTACAATCAGTCAGGCCAGCTGGTGCTCATCTTTGAAACATCTGAAATGGGGAGTAGATAAAAGGTGTGAAATGTAACCTTAAAGTGAGAGTTGTACCAGGTTACCTAGTTCACTGGAAGTGGTGGGGGGCTCTGTTTTATATTTCTGATGGAGATACCACCTATGCTGAAGCCCAGGTTGGTATTTAGTTTTTGATAGTAGGATAAGAAATGTAAAACAGCCCCCAATTGATGACTCCCACTTTGTTCTTTAGTGGAGTTAAGTTACGTATAACTTATAGAAAAAAACTCTGTATCTGCTCAAAGTTAAGTTTTCCTATGGAAGAAATATCTGTATTCTTTTGATGCGTATTTTGTTACTCAGACTTGATTATGGCATGATACAGTTGCCATTTTTTCCTCTGAGTTCTGTCTTATTTTTGTTTTAGATTATAGCCATAATTCTGATCCATAGAGTTGTAGTTCTTTGGACAGAATTACATTACATTTTTTTTTAAATTCTCACTCGAGGATATTTTTCTATTTATCTTCAGATAGAGCGGGGGTGGGGGAGGGGTGGGGGAGAAAGAGAGAAACATCAGTGTGAGAGGGACACATCGACTGGCTGCCTCCTGCACAACCCAGAGCAGGGTTGGGGATGAACCAAAACAGAATTATGTGGCCTTGACTGGAATTGAACCCAAGACTCATTGGTACACGGGCTGACGCTCTAACTGCTGAGCAAAACCTGCCAGGGCATACTTCTTTATAATTCATTTGACTCAAATTCCTTGATAGTTCAGAGTAATTGAAATATACTCATTAATACTATCAAATTATAAAGCTAGAAACATCAATCCTGTCATGTTCCTGCTTATTTGGAACTGGTGGTAACACTTTCTTAGTACAGAATGATATAAAAGTAAATTGCTTGAAGCTGAGAGAAGGCTTGTTAGAAAAAGACAATCAGTTACTGATAACTTGGTATAATGGAAGGAACCCTGGCTTTGGAGCCAGACCACCTTGGATTTGAATCCATGCTGTGGCTCATTTATACATGATCTTTCTGAGATTTAATTGTGTTATATAGTAATTGGAAAGATTTTTCTTAGGAAGTAATAATGTAAAGACCCTAACTCAATGTACATATAATATTGATAGCACAAAATGGTATCCTTTTTGAGAACCTTTTAGGGCCAACTACCAAGTTTTAGGGGATGATCCTCCAGTCTGCTCTCATTTCCGACACCAACTGCAAGCTCAGGGATTCCCAAAACTATATAATTTACTGGACTTGCAGAACTCGCTAAATGCTATTATGCTCATGGTTATAGTTCACTACAGGGAAAGGATTTAAGTTAAATTTAGCCAAGGGTGCATAATGCAGAGTTCAAGAGAAGTAGCAAATGTGGAGTTTCTGTTTTCCTCTCCCCATGGGAATCAAGACATGTCGTCTCTTGGCACCAGTGTGTGACAGTGTGCAGAACTGAGTGTCACGTGGACTTAGGATCTGATGAGAACCGTCTGCAGGCTTACCTGTAGAAATGTGGAGTCATCTTCAGTTTCTAGCCTTTGTAAAATATTTGGGCTCTGAGAATGTCCTTTTTGGCTTTCTTCCTTACTGTGGGGAATCTTTTACATACTTGAGGTTGCCAGTAAGTGACCATAAGTATGAGGTAGTAATGTGTCAATTTTTCCATTATTTTCTGCATTAATATTTTAGTTACTTGTTTATTGGAGTAAAGTACAGAATAAAGAAGAACATTCAGGGCATGAAAACTCCAAAATACATAAAAAGCTTTTTTTTTTTTTCCTGTTAGTTTACATCTGACAGCACAAATTAAATATTTATTAAAACATTTATACTTTTAAAAAAAACCCTCACCTGAGGATATTTTTCCATTTATCTTCAGATAGAGGGGGAGGGAGAGAGAGAGAGAAACATCAATGTGAGAGAGACACATCAATTGGTTGCCTCCTGCACTACCCTGACCAGGGCAGGGGACTGAACTGCAACCAAGGTACATGCCCTTGACTGAAATCGAATCCACGACTCTTTGGTCCATGAGCCAACTCTTAACTGCTGAGCCAAACTGGCCAGGGCAAAAACAATTATAATTTTATAGAAGTACCACTGTTTATTGAAACAACTCCTTACAAGGTTTATATTGGATTGGAATAGTTGTATATATTTTTTTGCCTAGTCTCAACAAACTGTGCCAAAGTAATTTTAGACATTCAAGAAGGTGTAATGATGTCTGACATTGGACAAAATGTTTGTACTTCACATTGAACTTGCTATACTATAATTTTAATTTATAATTAAGAGCAATAATTTGGATGCAATAATATTTTCTCCCTTTCTAGAGACAAATGGAATCAAATTGGAACTTTGTAGAAGAACTGCTGAAAAGGTCCATCAATGTTCAGGTATGCATTTAAAGTGGGACATTTTGTGGGCTTAGCTAAATTTTTATGTTACAGATTTTATTTGTAAGAACCAAGCAAACTCGAAATGATTTAAATAACAAACTTGGTTTACTTATTAATGACCTGTGATAGAGATCATCATTCTTTGTTAACGACCTGTGATAGAAGTCATCGTTCTTTGTTAATGAAGTGTCACCATACAGTAGTTCCTTTTAGTGACTATCCTTTGAAGGTTTTTATTTTTAATACTGAGTTTTCAATTAAAGGACAAAGATAATTATCCTAGTTGGTGATTTTGACAAAATGTATTCAAAATAAGTAGTAGATGCTTCAGAACTGTAAGCCATTTCTCGACTGTATAATATCAAGTCTAGGAGACACGATAAGGGAGATAGTCTGCGGCAGTGGAAATTCTGCTCTGTCTTCATCACAGCAGGAAGGGGACTTGCCTTGCTGAGCAATTTGTCTTACAGGCTTGAATCATACTCTAACCGATAAGGTCCTAGTTTCTGAGCCCTCATTTCATACCTTATCATTTTTCTTTCCGCAGAGCTGTTAATGTAGTGCTTCAAGGCCCACAGGTCAGATTTGACCTCCTTTTAAAATAGTTTTAAAATGTGTAGTTCATCTCATCTTTAAACATATTGTATTGTAGCTCTATAAAGTTGTGTAATATAAGTTATTTATGTAAGAGTTTAAGGGACAATTTTAGTAAAGAATTTTTTAAATTTGGGAAAAAGATTTCTGTTAAGAAATAAAAGTTGTTAAAACTTGAGGGATAAAAAAAATATGGTAGTAAAACATTGCTGTATATATATATATAGCGCACACACACACATTTGTTTCATAATATCTTTTTAAAGCATTTGAATAGCTTGAGATTTTCTTTTCCCTATTATCTATATTAACTCTTAATATTTTTAGGTGAAATATATAAGTACATATAGTTGTAAATCTTCTAAGTATAAGCCAATATTTCTAGGTTAAAATTCCAAAGACTTTTGCATATTTAAGTTGTATCAGAAACAGAAGAGCTAGTATCCCAATTATTGTAAAAGTTTTGGTTTATTTTTATTTGGCTTTATTTTCTTTTGTTTTTGAGACCATATGATTTAGTAACTCAAAAAGTTTCTTACATATATTTTTATACTTCAAGAATATAGGGAATCACTAAAAATGGTCATGGTTATTTACCAATCTTAATGCCTGAACATAGCTTATAAACCTCTTAAGCTTACTTTCAGCTCTAACAGTATATGAATTCATGGTTTTGTTCTGTCAGGTTTGAAATTACAGAGTATTTCTTAAACTGTTCTAAAGGTTCACATGTATATATATTCATATACGCAGCCCATTTGGTATGGCTCAGTTGGTTGAGTGTCGTCCCATCCACCAGAGGTCCTGGTTCAATTCCTGGTCAGGGCACGTGCTCAGGTTGCTAGCTCGATCCCCAGTAGGGGCTTTGCAGGAGGCAGCTGATTGATGTTTCTATCTCTTTGTTCCCTCCCTTCCTTTCTCTCATATCAATTAAAAACTTATATTGAAATATATACATTCATATACCCATAATGGTCAGGGACAACAGGAGAATTTATCATCTCTTTTCATAGAAAAGTTTGCTTTTTGACTAATAGATTGAAACCTCTCTTTAAACACACTTAGTTATTTGAAAATTAATTTTTTTCCTTTGAACTGTGACTTTCTATAGTTTTGATTTTAAATGAAGGAAACTCATTATCCTGAAAAGAATTTAGTTGGAATGTCTTACTTGTAATGTGATCAAACTTAATCTGACATTGTATAGTATGCTTTTACAAATGACTGGTATTTTATTTGTGTTACCAAAACTATTTTGAAGATAATTCTTGGAAGTAGGTAGGGTGACCATCTCGGTTTGCCTGGCTTAGGTGTTTCAGAAAGTGGGACTTTTAGTGTTAAAACCAGAAACGTTCTGAGCAAACTGGGATGAGCCAATCACCCTGGAAGTAGGGATGGTACAGCAAATCTAGGACACTTTCTCTCTGCATTTTGGTCTAGCATAAAGACAAAGTAATATCTTTCCTGTGAAAGAAGAGGTCATTATAATATATAGAAAGGAGTAGTCCATTCTCTCTAGTAATCTTTCCGTTTGGTCATGCCTTGAATGTATGAAATTAGATTTTATAAGTAGTAATGGACTACTTACTGGAATTCTTGAAACCAGTTTTGTTGGCCTGGCCGGTGTGGCTCAGTGGTTGAGCAGCAACCCATGCACCAAGAGGTCACCGGTTCGATTCCCAGTCATGGCACATGCCAGGCTGTGGGCCAAATCCCTAGTGGGGGGCATGCAGGAGGCGGCCAGTTGATGTTCTCTCTCATCGATGTTTCTCTCTTCCTCTCCCTTCCTCTCTCTCTAAAATCAATAAAGAAAAAAAATTTTTTTTAAAGAAACCAGTTTTGTTGGATGCAGTGAGTGGTCATAAAGAATAAATAATATGTTTGGATATAGCTATCAGGATATCAGTTTGATTATATCTGTTTTCCCCCGTGGAGGTAAATTAAAATCTGACCATGCTCATGTCCTTTGACTTGATCTCCAACAGTGAAAGAGGCCACTTGCAATATTTCTATATATATATTTCACATTTACAACAGTCTTCATATAAAATTGATAGGCACTCCACTTTAGTTTTAATTAAGCAAATAATTTTTTAAATCTTTTTCTAGCCAGAGAGGATCTTCCGGAAACAGACATTGACCTTTGTTAATAAAGAGTATATATGTTTGATTTTACTAACATAGGTGCAATTCAATAGTTACGCATTTCCTCTAAAAACATTTTTTGAGAGGTAATTCTATTTAATATTTGTGAATGCTAACAGTAAACATTTATTCTACCTCAAAGATGGCATTATTGTTTTCGTATGAAAAGGAAGATACTGAGTTTTATGCCACCTACTTTTTAAAGTCTCATTTTCTGAGATCACAGAAGGAATTTTCTAATAAAGGTCATATGGAAGGATACAAGAAGAAATCTTAAGCCTAATATTTTTTAAATAGTAAATTCATTTTTCAAAATATTTGGAGAATCTAAGGCTGAAAGCAACTCAGAATGTGAATAGACCTGAATAATGTGGAACAATAATCTTCTAATTTCTAACTCAAAATTATGTGTTTCTTGGACAGAAGGATCTTGACTAGGATATTGAAGTTCAACTCTCTTTATTGAGTCCTAAAAATAAATTTAATCAGGCAAACTAACAGTTGCTATTTAGCTTTTTAATAAATTTTTTTCTTCTAATGGTTTCTGATAGGTACGTTAGTTATGCATAAAGAAATGAACCCCCAGTTGTTAAATTGCCATTTTTATAGAATAAACTAAAAGAGTAAATGTCATTTTTAGTTCAATAAAAGAATTTGATGTATGGAATATACTCATTTAATATGCCTAAATTTGATCTTTCAAAGTAAAGCTAGGAAGACATTCTTTTAAAAAAGACTAAAGCAGCAATCTGGAGCAGGCACTATGGAATATTCTAGGGTAGCTTTCTTCATTAAATAGTTTCCACACACACACACACACACACAGCTGAGATGAGACACCTACACACACACACACACACACACACACACACACACACACACTCCCTCCCCCCCCTGAGCTGAGATGCCCAGAGAGCCCACAGATGGTTGTCTGGTGAAAAATGCAAAGCTCTGGGGTTGAAAAGACAGGTTTAAGACTGTGTGGAAAAGAGGCCCACAGGTCTGGTTTATCAAAAAATCTTTAATCAGAGGGCATGGATTTACGTCTTTGATCAAACCTCTTAGTTCTAGATAGAATTGACCTTAGCATTCACAAATGAAATATATCAGCTTAAGGTATGATACCATGAACCTGTTGCATATTATTTCATTATCAAGAGTCAACAACATTTGGCCTAAGAGACTTTTTTTTTTTTTGCAGATAACAAAGTTATAGCTATTTCTGTTTGATTAGTAATCCATTTTGGTTTCTAAATCTGTTTTGAAAGCATCTACGTATGATTCCCCCCCCTTCCAATAAATTTGTGACAGGAAAAATCTAAGATAGAAAGAAATTAATATATACTCAATTGTTCTCAGACACTCTCCTCACTATAGTTCAGCCCTATTTTCTTGTTTTGAATTTGAGCTAAGATGTCTGTTGCCTACTCTACTCCAGACTGTTGTGTATTCTGACCTCTGGCTATCTGGCCTTGAAGATGGGCAACTCTTGTGTCCCCTTAACTCCACAGATGTGCACACACACACATTTTTTTTAAAGTAAATTTTAGAGCACACATTAAGGGAACATGGTTTAAAATAAAGTAATGGTTGAATATACAGAAGATGAAAATGTATTTTATAAAAAATAGTACTTGTAATTAATTATAGGCTTAAAAAAAAACACCTCACTTTTTAAATCACACTCGGCTGTCTATCCTGCCAGAACTGTGGAGAAAATGGTGGTTTTTAAAGCCATTTCTTTTTATTTTAATCTGTAGCCACTAGGAGGAAAATGAAGGAAAATTTATCTCCTTTCTTTTAAAAATATAAAAGAAAAAAAATTCCTTGGAATGCCATATTTAATTTCTTCTTGATTGGGTACGGTGGAAAGCACAAGGGCTCTGGCCTCACAAACTTTGATTTAAATCTTTGGTCACTGCCAGCAATTTTGATCAAATTTAGTGTGTCCATTACATGTTCATTTCTTTTCCCTTCTGTTTTTGGAATGTCATATAGATCAGTGTGTATGGCAGGCTTTTTGTCATAAATCCTCATGCCCAAGTGGATTTTGGTAAGCTATTTGTAACTTCTTTTCTGTAAAATGAAGGTAATAAAACTAGGGGATGATTTGAAACACACATGAACTCACATATATAAACATCAGATAACGTCTGACACATAGTTGGTATTTAAACCTTTTATTTTTTCCAAATTTCACTTATGATTATGGCTTAAATACCTCTTTGTAGATTTACATGTATGTAAAATACATTTCAGATACCAAATAAAACACAACTCTTCAAAATGTACCCACTTTTTTTCATATAACTCACTTTTTACCCTTACAACATAAGATTAGTGTACTCTAAATCATATCAGTAGTTCGCCACAGGAGTGAGCCTAGGGCTGGTTTCATATTTTCATAATAAAATCAGAGAATGTTAGTGATGGACAGGACCTTGTCTTCTTTGGTTAAATTCATTTAGTTGTCTATTAGAGAAGCTAAATGTCTTTCCCGAAGCCATAGCTACTAGGTGAAGAGATACCAGTATACAGGTTTTACTTTTGTTCATGTAAAATTTATGGAGTCTCTGGTGAACCAGGCACTGTGCTAGGCCCTGGGAGTATTATTTCAGCCCTCAGAGAGCTCATAGACATTTGAAAACATATAAACTGTACATTTAACAAGGTAAGTGATATGATACAGGTGTGTATATCGTATTATAAAGTAAGGTCATTGTTTGGTGTGGAAGTTAGGAAGTTTCCTGGAGGACTTGAACCTGGAGTAAATTCTAAAGGATTCGTAATTGAAAGAATTAGGCCTTGTCAGAAAAAAAGTTTGCTCATGTTTGGTTCACTCTCATTCATTAAAAGATTTGGGACTACGATCACTTTTTTTGTATACATACATACTTTTGTTAGTGACCCCAACAGCGATATAGAAGACTTCGGTGATCTCCACAAGAGTAGTTTCAGGGATGGCGAGACAGAAGTTTAACTATTGCAGGCTGAGGAGACAGCAGGAGGTGAGGAAGTAGAGATACAGTTGTCCTCCCTTGTCTTTGGGGGATATCATTTAAGACCACCAATGGATTATTGTGTATAATCAACCCGTTCTTGAAATTTCTTAATATCCTCACTTCTAATTAGACTTTGTTTTACTTGCCTTACCCACCTCCTCCCATGGTTATCATCTATATTTTTTCTTTTTTTATTCTGCCCCTCACAATTAACCTTTTCATTTTTTTGTTTTCTTTATACCCACACTCTCCTCTTTAAGGAATTTAGATTATGTAAGGCCTTATTATGATCACTCCATCAGAAAAACCTTTAATTCCATAGCCCTTTCCTGTTTTAAACTTGACAAAAGCTAGTCTTCTGCCCTCTGCCATCTCCGCCTCCAGCTGAATGTTGCTGGAGAAAAATTATAGTCACTCTTATTGATTGGTCTGACTTGAAATTCTTGATTTGTAAATCTCAAATGGCACTTGGCTCTAGAATGTTTGCTTCCCTGCTCCCATGGTGTATTGGAAGGGCACTCCAACCAACTGAGCCATATGGCCAGGGCTGTGCATGTTCCGAGTATCATGATGAACTCTCATGCCATGCCACCGGGGATGTGAATATTCTCTTTGTCCACTGTATGCACACTGTATGCACTACCTGCTCCTCAGGCACTCAGTAGCCATCTCGGTTATCAAAGAGAGGCCACATTCACATGACCTTTATTATAGTCTATTGTTATAATTGTTCTGTTTTGTTATTAGTTATTGTTAAACTTGTACTGTGTCTAATTTAAAAATTAAGCTTTATCAAAAGTATGTATCAATAGGAAAAAACAGCATATATAGGGTTTAGTCCTATCCAGTTTCAGGCATCCATTGGTGGTCTTAAATTATATCCCCCAAAGATAGGGGAGGACAACTGTATCTCTACTTCCTCAGCTCTTGTTGTCTGCTGAACCTGTCATAGTTAAACTTCTGTCTCGCCATCCCTGAAACTTTGTTGAGGCCACCGATGTCTTCTATATCGTCAAGTCTAAGAATTCCTCTCATTTTAATCTCTCAGTAGTATTCAACCCTATTGATCTCCATCCCTTTCTGAAGTACTTCTCTTGGCATACGTGATGCTTGGTTTCTTTTCTACTTCATTCGCCACTGGAGTTTGCTAATCAACTCCTTTTACTTAATGTCTAAATGTTGAAATAGCAGGGGGCTTTCAGTTGTACATCCTTTTGTTTTTCATCTATAGTCTTTCCTTAGTTGATCTTGTCTAACCTCTTAGCTTTATGAACTGTCAATATTGAAGGTAACATCCAAATTTATATCAATAGCTCTGACTTTTCCCTTGAGCTCTAGACCCATATGCCAAATTGTCTGCTTAATATCTCCATTTGATTGCCCTGTGCACTCTCCCATCTGTTCCTCCCTCATCTCTGTCATCCCTGGAAATAGTACCATGAACCCATTTTCTTAAGCCGAAATGTGAGAGTTCTTAATTGCTCTCCTTCCTTAGACCTTAATATAATTAACTGATCAATAAATTTCATTGCCTCTGTTTCCAAACGTATTTCTAAACTTGTCTGCTTATCTCGCTCTTGTAGCTTCACAGAATTGCCTCCTAACCTTTAGTGGTGGCAGAAGGAGAGGGAAGTCGGAGAAAAAGCAGACAATTTAAGCTAATCGTTGCTTTATGCCTGGTACCTTAGAATAGTACCTGGTATATAGCAAGCTTTAAATAAATAATTGTTGAATGATTGGCATTCAGTGAATGGTATGTCACTTTTTAACAAACATACACAGTTATTTCATCATAGAAGACTAGATTAAATTAAAGTGTCTACTTTTTTTCTTGCTGTACTTAATAAAAGTTTAAAATACATGTCCTCTGTCAATCCTCTGGTTTTTAAAAGAGCAATTTTTATATTCCTATAAAGAATTTGACCTAGTACTTATATATGACCTTAGGATTTGTGTACATCTTAGTTATTAGATCATTTTTGCTACTTCTTTCTGATTTGATTTTCTTTTCTAGTCTCTGGGTTTCTTATACTATTTAATTAATTATGAAGTACCTATTGTAATTTTAAATAATTGAGTTAAAAGTCAAATTGAGTTATAAAGTTTCCATTAAACCGAATATAGTAATGGTGTATAAAGTAAATTTTTATATGTATATCTTATGCTGATTTGGACTATCTGGTCTGATATTGGGTATGATTTAGTGATATATAAATATATTCATGTTCTTTTTAGAAGTGGGTTATTTGGTACAATATCATGTGATAATATTCATGTTGCCAGAGCCCATTTACTTTCTTACAATTTCACTTTACTTTTTAGGGTGGTATACTAGAAGAGCAATTACGAATGTATCTTCACTGCTGTTTGACACTTTGTGATTTCTGGGAGCCAAACATTGCAGTTGTCACCATTCTGTGGGAATATTATAGTAAGAACCTGGTGAGTAAGTAGAATATGAATTTGTTCCAGGAATTTGAAGAATCTGTACATGACACTTCAGGATTATTTTTATGGCTTAATTATGAATAGCTGTGGATTTTTCTTAAAAAGTTATTTTTCAAAGTGGATTAGAATAGCTCAAGAATAATTTTATCTTTTACAAACAGTCTATAGAGAATTGTCATAAGGGAGTATTTGGTGTCCCTTTTTTCTTAAGGGGGAGAGTAAGTGCCCTAGCTGGTGTGGCTCAGGTGGTTGAGCGACCTCCAGTGCACCAAGAGTTCACCAGTTCCATTCCCTATCAGGGCACATGCCCGGGTTGTGGGCTTGATGCCCAGTAGGGGGCGCACAGGATGTAGCTGATCTGTGTTCCTCTCTTTCATTGATGTTTCATTCTCTTGCTCCCTTTTCCTTCCTTTCTCTCTAAATAATCAATGAAAACTTTCTTTTTAAAGTGAGAGTAAGCAAAGTAGCTGAAATTATACCAGAAAGATATTTTTTTATCTTGATTTATAAGTATTTTCTAATAATTATGGATTGCTTGTAACACAGTGAACAATTAATGCTGTCCTGAATAAGACACAATCTTGGCATTTGAGTAACTTATACACTATTTGGGCAAATATGTGGTGGACAAAAGTTGTAATACTTTATAACAGCAGAAAAAAGAGTATCTGACCCAGTTTATGGACTTTTGGAGGACATTGTGAGATCATAATTTTCAACTTGGCCTGGGGAATGAGTGGAATTTTCCAAATACAGAAGAAAAAGAGTATCCAGGCAAAAAGAAAGTATGGACAAATGTATGGAGGCATGAAAACAACATGATTCATTTCGACCATATTAAAGAGTTCTTCTGAGTGATAGGTCTGAGATTACTACAGAGATAGGAAATGAGGAAAATTCTAGAGAGAAGGTAGTCTGGGGCTAGATTATGAAAGGTTGAAGATAATGTCCAGTTGAATTGTGATTAGGAGACATTAGAGAGCAAGGATGTGCCATATTAGGTATTGTTTGAGAGTTTTTTTCTGAAAAATGGTATAAATGAATTAGTCCAGTGTAGTAGTATAAGTAAATAATGCAGTGAATGAGACCTAAAATAGGGATAATTGGTTTAGAAAGGAGACAGTAAATTTAGAAGATAAAAATTTTTATGGTAGACTTAAAGAATTTAGTTCCTCTAGTGTATGGAGAGAAGATTTGCAATATTTGGGCTTCTGGGTAAATAAATAGTGAACTCCTCACTTGTATAAACTGGAAATGAAAAATTTACAAGTAAATTACAACTTTGGGTTCGTACATAATGTAGCTTATTAAAAATGAGGAAAAAATACCATTCTCTGAAGCATAATGTCAGGCTGATTGGGGAAATGGCTGAATCTAGTTCTGAGGCAGAATGTGTACAAGATAAGTCTAGTAAGTGTCTTGTCATGACTGAAAGCAGGGGAGGGTATAGTAAGCTGGAGTCATGTCAAAAGGGCACTGAGCCAACTTGAAGGAGCTCCCCTTGCCCAACGCTGGGTAAATTTGAGCATAAGAAAGACTAATGACTGCTGTGGATTAAAACATAGCAACTATCTTTAAATCCTTGAGTTTATGATGCTTTAGAAACATCCTGAAAGAAAACAACACAACAACTAAAACCCTCATTCTGAAAACTGTAAATAAACGAAAATATAAACTATATTTTAGAGTAAGCAAATTTCTGATGAGCTAATTCAGAAGGAATGATAGAATTAGAAAATCACTATTTGGTACATCTGATGAAATAGTGCATCTGGGCAGTGATCATCAGTGGCTGCTAAAACTAAGTAAAAGGCTGGTGGGGGCTCATTAAAGTGGATGGATCAGGCTGACAGTGGGATCAATCTTAACATCAAAAGGAATAATAGAACTTATGTGCCATTTTGCTAATTGCAATAGGAAGTACTCAGTACTACCAATGAAAGTTAACAAAAAACTCGAACTGAATCTCTTCAGTCCTCTGGATACTGCTGCCAATTTACAGAAAAGGTGGGGATAAGAGACAACATTAAGTGACACAAGGGAGAGACAAGTGGCTAAGTCCAGAATGTCGGAAATTCTACACAACAAATGACTGGATATAAAAATAAATGATGTCACAAAAGGTTAGGAAATTTACAGAATAAAAGAACGTTAAGAGGCATATCAACCAAATGCAATGTTGGATCCTATTTGTATCCTAATTTGACAAGCCAGCTGTTAAAAAGACATTTTGGGGGGATAATCCAGGAATTTGAGTACCTCTTGATATTCTGTGCTTTTATGGAATTTTTATTTTGGGAGAATATGTGGTAATGGCTGTGTAATTTTTGTGATTAAGATTAGTCAGACTTTTAATGAGCTAATTGGGATTTGCAGCTTTCTATTTTTATTTACTCAGAGACTTAATATTTGTTTTCTTTTTTTTTTTCTTTTAGAATAGTTCTTTCAGTATTTCTTGGCTTCCTTTGAAAGGCCTTACAAATATTATTAAGTCACCCTTGTCTATGCTAGAAATGGTGAAGACCTGCTGTTGTGATACACACGATTCTGACCTGTACAAATCCAGAAATAGTTACACCATTTTCCTGTGCATTTTGGCAAAAGTTGTTAAGAAAGCAATGAAGAACAATGGTCCTCATCCTTGGAAACAAATCAAAGGAAGGTATGTGCTGTGTTTTTCTTTGTCATGAGTGTTCACTTATATCTTTGGAGAAGTGTTACTGTTTGTATTTTTTAAGTTAATGTGTTTGGAGGTCTTTATGGTTCACTCATTTAAAATGTATTCCTTAATGTAGAACAGCAAACTGTGGAGCTTTTTGAGCCTGTCAATTTTTTACAGATAGGAACAAAAGTAATATTCATAACTTGTGGAGGATTTTAATTTTTATTTATCTCATCAGTTGTAAAGATTGAACTTTCATGTACTAAATGCAAGGATATTAGAGAACTGTTGTTTTTCTTCCCAGAATTAATTATAATGTTATTATGTAACTCATTGCAAACATGTTATTAAAGATTGCAGAAATAAAAATTGTCTCCAAATTGTACATTGGCTAGTGATAAACTTGATCTATAAATTTTGTGTTCTTTGAGCCCAGCAGTCCCATAAGCTCTACTTTCTTGAATAAAAACTAACCAGAGTATATTGGAACCAACTAACTAATGTTTTCATTTGGGGAGTATGCCCAGTTTTAACTTCTGGTGTGGTAAAATGAAGTTTTGGTCACATTTTCTATATTCTCTTTTAGTAGAGTTTTGCCTGTTACATGGGCATGATTTTTACTCCCCTTGTCCTACTTCCTTTGCCCGGCAGCCCTTCTTCGAGCCCCCTGTGCATACCCTGCTGTCTGCCATTGCTCTGCCTGGAGCAGTTCTCGCTCAGAACGTGTTGTACTGTAGGTGGGACTTCTCAAAACCACTGCATGAAATTCCTGTTTCATTCCTCCAGTGAATAGTTCTTGAAAGGTTATAGTGATATAGTTTGGGTTTTTTATTTAGACTATACTTTTTTAGTGGTTTCATCTGATAAACCCCCAGTAATTATGTGGCTTGAGCAATAGTTTTTTCCTTTGTTTTGTTTGCTAGTTTGTTTTTGAATCATAATTCCTTTTATGGAAGACATAATTCTCAGAACTCTATTGCTGAAAGGAATTCATTCAATAACAAGTCTGTTTATTAGAAAATACTGTGTACCAAGCACCATGGTGGGCATGATGGAGGCTCTAAAGTTAATTAAACAGATCTTTACTTCCAGGAGCTTATTAACCATATTTACAAATAAACATTTAGCCACTCATGAACATTAATCATTTCTATCTTGAAAAAAATAATTATAGAAGCTACAAAATCTAACAATCTGTAAGTAGGATTCAAGATGAATGATTTTTAATTCTAATCTCTTAATTGATGAAAGAAAAGTTTCATCAACTATTAAAATTATTTTAAATAGTATTGACAAGAGATTTTTTTTAATGGCTAGTCTTAGATATTATGACACTAACAATTTCTCTTTGTAAGTAATAATAAGTTTCCTAGCACTTTGAATTGTCTTAGGGTATAAATACAGCAAGAGCAAGTCTTTGTGAGCAGTAGGTGGAGAAAAGGTCTAAGGAAAACTGTTATGTAAAATTGCCCTGTTAGAATTTTGTAAAGTACATCAAATTGTACTTAAAAAATTATATATTGTTTCTTATTTGTCCACAAAAATTTAAAAAGAAAGGTGATGGGGACTAAAAAGGAGAAGTCATGTACTTTAGGCAAAGAACATTTCTACTGTCCTTTGGGAAAGCCACTGAATTCTTTGATTTACTTATAGACGATCAGCTACATCATTGGGAAATTTGAAGGTGGGGGCATTCTATTAATTTGTTTTCTAGGTAGACAAAGTGACAGGGCAGCATTTTAATGAAGAATTTGCTAAAAGTTTACAGTAATGAGACATGAATATTGACTGAAATGTTATTTTAAAAGATGGATTTTGTGAATGAAACAGTTTTAATCAAGCAATTTTTATGTTTTACAGAATATATTCCAAATTCCATCAAAAAAGAATGGGAGAACTAACTGCGGTTGGTCTACAGAACTTTTTCAGCCTTTTTCTGCTTTTAGCAGCTGTTGCAGAGGTAGAAGATGTAGCAAATCGCGTTTTAGACCTCATGAATTTCCTCAAGCCTACCTTAAAAGCATCACCTCTCATTTGGAAGGGTCAGGCAGCCTTCCTCTTGATGTATACCCAGAAAAATCTGGACATTAGCGTTTTAGCTGAGAAATTTTCAGATGCTTTCCAGGAAAAAGCAAAGGAGTTCTTGGTATCTAAGAATGATGAAATGGGACAAAGACAGACTCTCTGGACACTTCTTTCCATCTATATTGATGGTGTTCAAGAAGTGTTTGAGACAAGCCATTGCTTGCATCCTTCCCATGAAAAACTGATTAATGATGGATTTAGTATGCTTCTGCCAGCTTGTCAAGAATCTGAACTTAGGACAGTATTGCACTTTCTACAGGCCGTTCTGGCCCGAATCAGGTATGTTTTCCAGTAATGTGCTAATTTATTAATTTGTTTTATATCATTACCTGTGTTGATTCTATATTAAAGTTTTTCTTTGGACATACTCACGAAATTCAAATGTGGAGAGAGGAGTTGGTTTTATTGCTGCATTGGCATAAATCAGTAGTTTTCAATCTCTTCTTTCAAAGAGTAGTTCTTTAAAGGAAAGTTTACGTGCAAACTCAGAGCAATTCCGGTGCAGTCCCAGAGCTATGCCTTACACCCTCCTTTCCTTTCTCTCTCTCCAAAAAGAGTGTGATCACCCAGAGGTGTGTTTCAGATATTCTAAGCAAGACCTTGAGCTCAAATCTGAAGTGACTTTTACTGAAACATATGTAATTTATTGCCCATAAGATTTCGGCCACACTTGTACCATTTTAAAAAAGTAAATTTCTTTAAATATTTTACTACAGAGTTGAAGCCTCAAGTACCTGAAATGCTTTTAGCTAAAACAGTTTATTCTGATATTAAGATGGGATTGTTCTATTGATAATACCAGTCACCCATACAAAACTTACTCAGGTCCACTTAAATTATACAAGTGTACGAATGTACTCAGATATGAACAATAATGGATAACAACAATGGTAATGGCATTTACTTTCTTTTACTTTTGAAGTACAAGTTCTTAAGAAGTTACATGCTACCACTCAGTGTAGTCAGTCAGTCTCTGAAAAGTTAGGTAAACGTTATATATAGAAATATTATTTTATTTTAAATTATGTCTGAAGTTAACAGACTGCTTTCCTCTTCTTAATACCACATTATAAAAGTAGCATCTGTTTTTTAGAGGTACTATGCTTGACAAGATTTCCAGATTTGGGAAATTTATTGCCAGTTTTATTTATTACTAATTTACTTAATGTTGGTCTGCGTGTTCATACTGATTAATCCACAGGTTTTCATTCCTCATTAGGTTTTATGTAGCTTTATTATTTATCTGTGCTCATCAATTTAAGTTGTAAAAGTTTATTTTAGCTAGAGTTCTTGATCAGACGGTCATCCCTTTGTCCCCCAGTGTCAGCTATATTATTGGAAGAATCTTAAAGCTCTCAGCTTTTTGGACGGATGGATGGATGGAAAGTAAATGAATAATCAACTTTATTAGAAGAAGCTTTTACTAATTTCTGGATCTTCTCCATGAACTGTTTATGTAGTAGTTTATTAGATATTATACTTTCCCAAATGTCAAATTCATTTTGTTTGTACACTTTTAAATTAAGTGGTAAGTAGTATTTCCCTGTGCTTCCTGGACAAAATTAGAAATTTCCGTATTTCTGGTACCATTATTGGTTTATTTATATTTGTCTGAATATACAAAACAAGTAGGAAGAGGAGCTTACTGGTTTAAAACTGCCCTGGTGATGAGGAGCTGTAGTCCCCAAAAGATATAGGGGTATAGGAATAGAAAATGAAGCGAGAAGTATGGGTATCTTAGGAGAAGGCAGTCATGGAAACCAAGTGTCCGAATCTATATATTTTTCTGCCGTTTTCATTGAAGATGGTTCAGTCCCTTTTAATCATCTTAACAATTGTATTGCTTCTTATGTAGATTCTTTAAAAAAAACAAAAACAAAAAACAAAGATTCATATCCCACAAATACTGTTAGTTTGATTTTCGTAGAAAATTGGGGAAATCTTTTTGTTAAAATTTTTTTTAAATTGCAAATATATTGTCATTGGTAAAAGAAAAAATAAGGTGACAAGTAAAAGTTCCTTTTCCCACCTTTACTCCTTTAGTCTCAACTAAAGGTGAGTTTGTCCCATAGGAGACATTTGGCAGTGTCTGAAGTTTTTATGGTCACACCTGCTAGTATCTAGTGGGTAGAGAGAGGTCAGGGGTACTGCTAAACATCCTACAATGCATAGGACAGTTCACACAACCAAGAATTGTGTGGTCCAGCCTCAGTGGTGCTGCGTTTGAAAACGTTGATCTGGTTCTACTCCACAAAAGTAAAATGGATTCTTACAGAACCTTCCAAACTTTTTCCCATTTATAGGCTTAAAATACAAAATGGATAAACTTTGTTCTGCAACCTCATTTCACTCAGTATTTCCTCAATAGCTTTCCATGTTATTTCCATTCATTTTTTAAAAAATTCTTTTCCTTTTTTTATTGAGTTTAGAGAGAGAGAAAGGGAGAAGGAGAGAGAGATAGAAACATTGATGAGAGAGAACATCAATCAGCTGCCTCCTGCATGCCCCCCACCGGGGATTTGGCCCACAACATGGGCATGTGCCCTGAGCAGGAATCAAACTGGTGACCTCTTGGTACCTGGGTGGATGCTCAACCACCGAGCCACACTGGCTGGGCTCCATTAATTCTTATTAATGCCTCTTTAGTGTCTTAATATATGTATTAAGCTTTATTTAACCAATCCCCAAACAATGCATATTTATGTTGTTTACCATTTTATGTTATTATAAACACAGTTTTATTTAATGTTTTTATACATGCATTCTCTGTACTTGGGGAAGTATATCTGTAGATTAATTCCTAAGAATGCATTGGTGGCTCTGGCCAGTTTGGCTCAGTGGTTGGAGCATCGGCCTGTGGACCAGAGAGTCCCGGGTTCGGTTCCCGCTAGGGGCACGTACCAAAAAAAAAAAATGCATTGGTGAATTTTAAATGTGGATGGATATTACCAGATTTCCCACAAAAAAATGTTGCGCCACTTTTCACTCTTCCTAATAAGAGTATAAGAAAACCTTTCTTATTTTTAGATTAGTATATGGAGAATATTTAGAAAACATGTTCCAAGATGTTAAATACAGAAGTCTGTTAAAAATGTTAATGGAAACTTGGTAATAGGAAAATTAGACAAAGGTTGGAGAACCTTTCAAAATGGAAATAAAAAAGAAAGTAGTAAAATGGGAAATTATTATTTAAAAAAATTTTTTTTTTTTTTTTTTAATCCTCACTCGAGGATATTTTTCCATTTTTTGTACAGATAGAGTGGGAGGGAGAGAGAGAGAAACATCGACGTGAAGGGACACATCGAGTGGCTGCCACCCGCACGACCAACCAGGGCCGGGGACAAACTGTAACCGAAGTACGTGCCCCTAGCGGGAACTGAACCCGGGTCTCTCCGGACCGCAGGCCGACGCTCTAACCGCTGAGCCAAACTGGCCAGGGCTAAAAAATTTTTATATTCATTTATTAACTTCTTTTTGCCTTTAACTTCCTCACTGGTACTTATTTGGTTGTTCTTCAAAAGTAATAACTAGAAACATAAGGATAATTCTTGTATTCTTAAAAGATGTTCAGTTTACAAATACTATCTCATTTATTTTTTTATCAACCATGTCATCCCTGTTTATAGATGAAGAAATGGAAACATGGAAGACTTTTTATGACTCACCTAAAATAACACAGTTAAGTTTCAGAATCGGCACTCTGATCTAACCAACTATCCCACAGCTAGCTTCTTATACCATCTTTATAATAGATCACAAATAACTGAACAGAAATTAGCTATACCACTACATTTTTTTTTTTATAAGTTAGGAGGTAATTAAATGAATGAAATCTAAACTGTTTGCATACCTGGAAGTATTACCACTACTCATATAAAAGGTTTACAGTTGTGAGTATGTGAAACAGTTTTTTTGTATTATTATTTTTTAATTGTATTACTTTTCATACAAACAACTGGAAACCTCTTTTTGTCCCACCCTGTATACTTCTGAGTGTTTCTACCTTTTATTTTTGGTACTAAAAGGAGGTTGCTTATTGGGGAACTTTCATTACTTTGTTTTCATAATTATGCAAGTTATATATATTTTTTAATTAGTCAGTAGTTTGGGAAAAATCATGGGTGTGGAGACAAGTAAATTTCATTTATAATAATTTATCTTTAGTTTATTAGCACCATTGCAGCCATCTAACTTTCACTTCTTGTAATAAAAACAAATATTTGCTCTTTAAATTCAATTTAGTAGAAGTCCATTAGCATTAAAGCCAAAGCAGTTTCAGGAGTACTGGGGAAAGACTGCTGGCAAGAAGCTTGGAAGCTATAAAGCATCCCTGGTAATCCACAGGGATCACTGTTCGGAAGCACAGAGGTAGGAATCAAGAGGGCATAATGAAGACTGTCGATTATATAAGGTGAAAGTAAGTGTACATTCATATTAGGAGTATCTTTTAACTAGAACTGGCTTGAGTTTATAGTTTGCTGTCATCTGCAGCAGGGGGCAAGAAGTATGGTGTTGATCTTTAGGACTAACCTGTGAAAAAAGGACAGATGTTTATGTTGTTAACGTTTAATTCCTTGCATATATGTTTATTTTGGGTTTTTATACTGTTCAACTGTGATGGAAAACAATTGCTGTAAGTGAATTTCAAATCATGTATAACTGTCATTGCCAAAATTATTGATCAATTTTAACAGATGGGAAGTATGAAGCCAATGTGTGAATAAGAGTGGTGTGGAAATGTGCAGGTCTTTATTAATGTTGTCATAGTTCAGGCACTGTCATTTTTTAAATTATAAAGCATGTGTAGTAATTTGCACTGTTCTTTAATGAGACTAATTATAATATATTAATAAGAGGGGCTGTGACTTATATAGTTTTATTCCATCAATCTTTAGCACTTCCGAGGTAGATATTGTCAAGGCAGACTTTCTTTCAGTTTGGAATCTTTTGGGGAAGGGCCCTAGAGATCATTCAGGATTATTTACCTTAAAGAGGGAAGGATGGGAGGCAGGGGAAACACAAGAAAAAGTCCTTTAGGTATTTGGTCATAGATATATGTGTTCCTAATTTCTTTACACAAAATCTGGTGCTTCATTGAGGTTCTTTTCATAGGAGTCTTTTGGGTATGCTATAAAGTTATTACTTTTAATACTATTAGAAAGTATAAAAACATTTTGGATAGTTGTAAAGCATAGGCTTTTTTTGTTGTTGTTTTAAGTTAAGAACACAGCTAAATTCTTTGAATTTTGGTTTAGATAGGGAAGATGGGTTACACAGAT